CTATATAATTATGTCTTTGTGAAGTTTCCTGCTTTTGTAACAAGTGGGAAAAACCATTTTCACTTCGGGCACGCCAAGTCCCGCCCCCCCCCATTTTTTAAATGGATGCCACGCCCCTAAAAGGGTGAATTTGCGATGGCTCCACATCTAAAACATTTTCTCGCATGAATATAAAAATATGTGCCAAGTTTCACGCTTTTATGCAAAAGTGCACAATTCATCGATATTTTGTCACATATCCGCTGGACTATTAAGAAGCACCGTTGAAAAGGCCTTCTTTTGTTGATTTCTTCAAAATAACAGCTTTCCAGAAAGAATAATTTCACAGGGAGTTTAGTCCCCTTATTATCTTTCAACCAAGTATGTTTTTCAACAAGAATTACGCCAGTTACTTTTTGGATAGCTGCAAATGATGGACTCCAGCTTTAAGATAAAGAGATCAGGTATAAAAGTAGTATAATGTCCATACGACACCGGCTAGTATGAGTGTTGAGCTTTCTTAACACATCCCAGAATGCATTGCGCTGCAGCTTCAAGTATACGCATTCGACCAATCAGACGATTGGGACAGATTTTGTGCGGAAGATTGGCCGCGTGCGCCATGCATGATAGACAAAAAAAACTTTAAAACTGATGAAATTGGAAACAGGTCGCAAGCAAGTTAATCGGTATAATTAACTACCTGGCGATATCGAGGAAACAAGGTTGTTATAGATGAAAATATAATTCAAGGCAACATCGGGTAATTGCAATTGTGAAAACTTGTGACGTGTTTGTCACAAAAATGCTCACGGACTTAATTTTCGTTGCTATCAAAAGGGCAGTAGGCTGACACATTGTGTTCAATGCCAGTCGAGATGGATGACCATCCCTCAGTTAAAAAAAAAACCATAAGCACAACCTTCGGTTTACGTCAGTAACCTGACTGGCCGGACTGATGATCTCGCCATTATTAGCGCCGTGAAAAGATGAAGCTAAGGGAGATTGCTGGACGGGCCAACTTCTTTTAATAACTTCAACCACCATAATTTGAAAACGGTAAAAGCTGATTGCGTTCTGTAACAAAATGAGTCGTGACTGTGCGTGTATACATACAGTCCGTGTTCAGCTCAAAAAAGCGAGAAGACATCATCATCATCATCATCAAGTCGGCCACAGCCGGGCTCCGATACGACTGCCCCCACTCCCTCCGGTCCGAGCTCGCCGGCCGTCTCCGCTCCAGTGTCTTTCTTCAGTATCCCTAGGTTATGTATAGGACATAGCTTCAGTAGCGTATACAGCTTTGGATGTCAGGGGGCAGCCGCACAGCCGCACCGAAATGTAGACATGTTTTTATCTCCGGACACTTGGCATTAAAATCAAAAAGGGGGGGGGGGGGGGGGGGGGGGGATGGCCTGGGTTTGGTACCCACCTTCCAAACGGGGATGCTCTTCAAAACTGACTATTATTAATGCACACTGCAAATTATATACCCATTTTCACGGCGCATTGTAATGATTTTTGAGCTTGTTTTCTTTTTTGGGATTGATGTCTTAACTCTGTAACCATTTATTGAAATAATTGCTAAACAAAAAATAACGTGACAAAATCCGCCAAGGGGCAGAGTGCCCCCTCTGCCCCCCCCCCCCGGATACATAGCTTGCCTACCCCGCCTCTTCCTATCATGTTTCAACTCCCACAGAACCACCAAGTGAGCCTTGAGCTCAGGTTGCACCCCTGTATTAAAATTGCCATAGACACCAGTGCTACATGTAGTCTGAGCATCACCCGTTATCCACGGAGTCCAGTCTCATGGCTACAAGCTAAGTGCCCATACTTCAAAATTCGTTTAAACATAATATTCAGAACTCTCACAGGTATTTATGCTGCATGCACAGAAAAATGATGATCAACATGTCATCGTTCATTTTCTTTTCAATTTTTGGTGAGTTGACCATTGACCTTTCGAGAAATGCTCACCCAAAAAAGACGACCCCTATTTTTCTCAAAGCGGAAATGTAGCTATCTTCAAAAACGATCCCTCCGCAACATGGCAAAATAGCGCCACTTTCGGGCCCGATTGCATCCAAAATGCTAAGAATCATTGGAAGCCCCAAGTGTGAGCCAGATGTTCATTACCATATCTCTTCAATTCCCCAAATGTAAGGCTCTCAGCGAACTCTGTAATATAGAATATTTTGAAGGTATACCTTTTATTCATGAGCTCAGCGGATGGGTTTAGGCCTATTTACCGGTGTGCACCCCTCAAAGTGGGACTGACAGTGCCGCGCCAGCCGCATCAGGCGTGCCGAGAATCTGACAGCACCCAACAAAAGAATGAAAATATCGCAAGCAAAGGTGGGCTTGATCTTTTAATAATTCCTTGAATTGGCAGTGGATAAAAGAAATTTAAACCAATTTTTGTATGATTTGGGTATTTTTAGTTGCCCATGAGCGAAATAAAGAGTGTTCATAATAAGTGTGTAGGCCTAACGGTTTTATTCCCGTAACGAGTTCATACCATACCCATCCTATCAAGTATCCATCCTAGCAAATGCCCAATTTGAGGGAGGGGGGAGGGCTCCTTTTCTTGACTACCAAGTACAAAAACCCAAAAAAGAATCGACAAATTAATTCAATAAGCATTCATTGAACCCCAAAAGACCCCGAGGATCGAAAAAATAAATTAAATTATTGTCGCAACGCGCAGCACAGCTAGAGGCTGAGAAATTTCATTACAATAAATATCAGTATCAACTTTTAGAACTAAATGTGATAAAGTGTGGAACATAGTTGGCTGCAGCCTCGTCCCCAGGGAGTCAAGCAGTACGCGCCCACCACTACCTGCTTGATCTCTCACCCTGGCATTGGATCATTTGCATGTGCAAGATTTTTTAACACGTATGCAAATGAGAAATAGTCTGGTGCCTGCCTGTGCGTTACATTTTCGTTTGTTTTTATATGCGGTGTCTGGGGTAAAAACATAATCAATTCGTAACAGCGCGAGCATGGCGTGAGTTACGAAAACACGATTTTATTTTAATTAAACTGTTACGATCTTAACGAGACAATATGCAGTATCACATTTCATATTTATATGAACAAATTGGAAGGAAATGAATATTTTTGAGAAGGCGTGGACGAATAATCTCGAAAACACGTACTGCACGTTGTGAATAACAACACCAAGTACACGATATAAATCCATTTCTAGCCAATTGCGGTATCGAATCAGGATACAGGAAGAAAGTTTGCTATCTAGGGCTTACTATTGGAAACGAGGTTGGAAATAAAGTAAGCACTGGGGACGAGGTTGAGTTGGCTGCATTTGTCTTGCTTTCATAGAAGTGCGCCCTCGCATGACTGGCTATGACCTGTCACCGGCACCATAGAGTTGTATTCAAAAATATAAATATAAAAAAAAAACATTTATATAGTTACTTTCACTCGTGCGAGCGAGTCGAAGTTGTGGAACAGCGGCGAGCGGGCGGCCGGTGAGTGGGCGGGGCCGGAGATGGGGGTTTGTCCTTAATCCTAAAATTACTTGGCAGTGCATTGAGTTTCGAAAGCGGAGGGGTGGGTGCTGGCTGGACACACGTAATAACACAACGGAGCGCAGTTCATGTATAGACATTTACATCTCATGTAAACGCACGCTTATACGTCGCTTAATTTTACACTAACGGTGCATTTCAAAAGTTTAAAAACGGAAACACATACTAAAGCTTAAATACATTTGGAATGTTGGAAACTTAAAAGAAAACATCTCAATCGGCATTGTTTTGATTCTCATCACAAAAATATGGGGGGGGGGGGCGATTCAATGGCCCATTCTCTAAGTGAAAAAGATGGGGGATATATCCTTCCGGAAGTGAAAAAGATGGGGAATATCGACATGGATACGCCCATTTCGCCGTGGCCCTCCCACTTAACACGTCGTTGAACAGCAACTTTAAGCCTATAGACACACCCCTGCCCCTCGCGAGACCTCCATCGCGAGGGGCTTTTTGTGGTTGAACCCCAGTCTAGGGGTTAGACTCTGTTCTTGTTTGATACGCTATAACCCGCCGCCGCGATAACCCGCCGCCGCCAGACTAGTTGAACCCTGGTTCCCTGTCGGGCAAAGAGCCCCTGAATCGCGCCCGGGCTTGTTCAACTTGTTAGATGATGGTCATTCTAACTCTGAATCTGAATGCTACAGTTGACCAGAGCATCCATCAGGAAACATCACACCAACTTGTCATTCACCTCTCCTCCTTCAAGAGAAATATTGCAACTTTGATTTCGTCCATGATAATTATTATGTCTTGTTGTTTTTTTGGCAAAATGTTAGAAAAGCTTTATATACCAATTTGGGCATGCTATCAAATCTAGCACGGTGGCCCCCTTCAATTGCGAAAGCATTGGGCTATCATGCTCAGAGTATTCGTCGTGTTGTAGCTTCGCACAATGCCGTGCACAATTTTTTTCGCCATGGAAGGGGCCCGTTTTTATCCAGAGCGACGGGAGACACCGGTCACTGCACTGCACTGCAATAATGGTATGAAACAGAAACAGTCAAAAAGATTGGCGTGCATATTTTGAAAAACGGAACGTATTTTTTTTTATAACTCCAACGTGTGTTTTTAAAGATAAAATGTGTATGGTTCTAATATACGGAATGCTCAACTTGAATGCATGCAGTTTTCGAACGTATCCATTATAGCCTATATGCTATAACAGATTCGTTCGAGAAAAAAATTGCCTTAGTATGAATGATCTTTACAAATCGATTCACTTTAAAAACAGAATGCATGTTTTCGAAAAATGGAACCTATTATCAGTGAAAATGAAAGAAAATCTAAAAGTGACCAATACTTAGGAACCCCGATCTTATTTTTCAATAGGGGGGGGGGGGGGGGGGGGGGCTTACAGAAAGGCGTAACTTGCATCACTGATACGGCGCAGTTTCGCCAGCTCTTTTTACTGGGTTGCAAAAACATAATCCGCAGACTAGACAAGACAAGACCGTGGAGTTGGACTAGCGCCCTCAAGCGTTATACTAAGATCGAGAAACATCGGCGCCATCTTCTATGTTTTTCTGTAATTTCTTGGGTTTGAAAGAGAGAAACAAGCTTGCAAATTTGATGGTTTGTATCAAGAAATTTCAAGATCGGATCGGTAGAAAGAGAATTTGAGATGTAAGTATCGTTACTGTGTGTTAATTAGAGACATTTCGAGCGAATTGACAATTTGTACAAAGATGATAAACCACATCACATTCACAGCAGCACAGGGGCCGCATTCACACACCATATTCAGATATTTAAAGCATGATATTGATAAGGGGTTAGCCCAGGTTGGACGAAGTGGAAAAAATTCCGTACTTGGACATCACTTTTTTCAATTAATTTTCTACTTCTAGCGCCAAAAGTTACATCTTTTATGGTTATTCCTTCACTTTCCCTCCTCTACTCTCACCCTCTCCTCTCCTTTATTCCTATTTATTAATCAGTCAGTTACTTCATCGGGATTCGAACCTCTGACGCTTGCTTGATACACGAGACTCTTAACCGCTAGGCCGTGCACGATCGCTGTTGCAATAATCAATCTTTGGACGTATTTGAAGTATCCATTGAAATAAACTAAATATTCATGAGAAAATAAATATTCATAATGACGTATTGCACTATCATTGGCAGGCTCATGCGACGTCATGGTTGTTGATGTCACGTGTATAACGTACCGCTGTCTTTCAGCCACTACAATCAGTTTTGACCGGCTGCTTCAAGTTAGTTCTGCACGACGTATGCATCCAAAATGTGCTCTAAAAACACATTTTGAGTAAATTTTTTTCAACTTTACACAGCTTCCTGGATTTCTCTTGGTTCAAATGACAAGGTGAGGTGACAATTAATATGTTTGGCAGCAGATAAATTGACGTCCGAGTACGGAACTTTTCCCGACGAAGTCTTCATTGCATTACGACTAACGTCCAGGACCAGAATTCTTTACATAAGACCACCCAAAATTTGGACCAGATTTTTGTTACGTTTTACCTCATTACAGAAGCTTATTTCACGCCTATATTTTTTATGTGTCCTTACCTATTGGGCCACTGGGTTCAGGAATTCCATATGTGATGCTGACCGACATTAATCAGGAAAATAAACTCTAAAGCAGCGTTAAACTTGTACGTGTTTGTAGTCTCTTTTCATCAGTTTATTCCCAGAGTCGTACGTCATGTACAATAATGTACGTGCGTACGAAAGCGCGCACGCACGCTAGCGCCCTCATTTGTTTAGTTTTGGTTGGAACCGTGACGTCACTCCAGCCAACCGATGTCACGAAAACGCTCAACCAATGACCAAAGCCGAAACGTGGACCGATTAGTGACCGCGCCTTCAAGTAAGTGCGCGTTCGTATGAGGGTGGTTACTAAGCAAATCGCGCGTGCGCACTGCATATTCATGTTGCATAGTCTGGCCCCCGGACAAGACGTGATATGAGCGTCGAGAATAATTGTCCGGTCTAGGGAACCAGACAACACGCTGCACAGACGTACATCATGTACGGCTATAATCAACCTCGTCCCCAGTGCTTACTTTATTTCCAACCGCGTTTCCAATAGTAAACCCTGGATAGGAAACTTTCTTCCTGTATCCTGATTGGATACCGCAATTGGCTAGTAATGGATTTTTATCGTGTACTTGGTGCTATATATTCACAACGTGCAGTACGTGTTTTCGCGATCATTCGTCCACGCCTTCTCGAAAATACTAATTTCCTTTCCAATTTGCTCATATTAATATGAAATATGATACTGCATGTTGTCTCGATAAGATCGTAACAGTTTGATTTCAAAAATCGTGTTTTCGTAACTCACGCCGTGCTCGCGCTGCTACGAATTGACTCTGTTTTTACCCCAGACACCGCATACAAAAACAAACGCTAATGTGTAACGCATATATATCCAGGCACCAGACTGTTCCTCATTTGCATACGTGTGCAAAAATCTTGCACATGCAAATGATCCAATACCAGGGTGAGAGAGCAGGTAGTGGTGGGCGCGTACTGCTCGACACCCTGGGTACGAGGTTGGGCTAGAATAGACTCGGCAGTGAGAAACTGATGAAATGAGTCTACAAACACGTACAAGTTTAACGTTGCTTTCAAGTTTGTTTTCCAGATTAAGGTCGGTCAGCATCGCATATGGAATTTCTGAGCCCAGCGGCCCAATAGATAAGGACACATAGAATACTACGACGTAAAAATTGGCTTCTCCATCAAGGTAAACATATTGAAAAAATCGGTCATAAATTTTTTCGCCCGGTTTTGAGCACTTTATACCCTGGACTCCCTCCGTTACGTAGGGAGGAAAGGGAGTCCACCTGGGCTAGATAAGGGGTGATCGTGTAGTGGGCCCGGTTCCTATATTAATAAGGGAACAAAATCCACTTTAAAATTATTGGACTGACCAAACTAGTTGGCGACATTCTCAAAAAACAGGTATGTCATAGATAGAGGGCAGGGTTTTGATTTTTTGAGGGAAATATGGGGGTAAAATGAAGATGACAGCGCGACGAACACGCGACCCGAAAATAAAGATGGCGATCACCGTGCGATGTACCGTGAGCACGCACGGCGTGCTGAATCGCAAGGCACAAACCGCACAGGAAAATCGTGATTTCTACCCCAAGAATCTGTTCAAAATATAGACCTAGTTCTAGATAACTGATTCGGATGCAGCCTAAGATTCATCAGGAAAATTCAGAATCTTTTGGTCTGGGAACCAGACTATGCACGAGGCACGGAGACACTCTCGGAATGAAAGCCGCGCTGTAGTTGGTCAAGAGAATTAAAGCGCCCTCAGTCACAGCAAACGATGAGTGACGGACGAGTGCGAGACTCCAATGATCCTGGTGAACGAAATTCTTGTAAATTTCACATTTCATTTGAAATTTTAGGGATTTCAACCCACCCCGGAGGTACCTATCAACATCAAGATGATACTTGTGAAATTTTGAGGCCAAACATTTCGTGCAGTATAGTTTGGAGGTCGGAAAAAATTGAGAATTTTCTGCTGCAGCAACTTCAATTGGTCTTTCTGTAATGTTTGTAAAAAAACTTACAGTTTTGGAAGCAGGTTCATGAGAGGGCCAATCCAGAGGCCACCCCACCCCTTAAATTGCTACATTTTCCTGATGACTAGTTTGTAAGGTCAATCATCTATAAACATAGTTTAAAGAATTATCTCAAAAAGAATCAACATCTTCTTATGTTGTGCCTTTTCATGTTGTGAAAATCGGAAAATACAAATTATATTCAGATTTCAGACGGAAGTAAATCACAAATTGTATGGTAACAATCATACAAACATATTTGAGAGAGTGCAAGATACTAAATATTTAAAGTATTTTTAGTTATATTCAATAAAAAAAAGTTCTTGAGCGAAACAACTATAGTCTTCTTTATTGTTTGAAATAAAATCGTATATTTACATGTAGTTGTGGAATATTTCAGCTTCTTTTTCTGATTCGTGGCTATGGAGGACTTTTTTTTAAAGGAAATTAAGTCAAAAATTGTAATAGGTCTGACTCCCATCTCCTCAACACGACGTCACAATGAAAAATGTTAGCGCGGAAAAAGATTTATCGCGGTAAAAATGTCTAAGTACCCCAACAAACACTCACTGCGCATGTTCAGTGCCATACCAGTTCAATACTGAATACAATCGAGACCGGTTCACGGTCAAATATACACTGCCAAATTTTAATCTCAATTTGTTAATGACAATGAGTATGATGAGTAACATTAATGATTTCAAAAACGACGGACTCAATGTAGGCCTACATTATAGACAGCGCCCTCTGGCATTCTGTTTCTGGGTAGGCTGAAGTATATGATGCCCACTGTTTGCCCATGGAAAATTTTACGGAAAAAAATGTTGCAACAGGATGCCACTTTTTTTCTTCATATCATATCAATTAAGGTCATTGCAAAACTGGTGATAAGACATGTATCTGGGACTGAGAAACATTTCCAAATTTGTTTGGGAAATACTTTGAAAATGTTCTTGACTCTCCATAGACTTTGTACACAATCGCGGACGTGGCGTCTTGTTGCAACATTTTTTTCCCCAATTTATCGATGCCACTTTTATTGAAAGTGACCAAAGTGAAGTACATGTATTTGTGACCAAGTGCACAACGCGAGCACCACCAAAGTGGCATCGAAAAACTAGGTTCTCCTTGTACTAGGATTTCCTGGCAGAAACACACACTTTTTCCTCTTGGTAGAATTTTTGACATGATTTCAGGTTGAGAAATGTCAGACATGTCAGAAGCACTGGTTCCTTTGATTCCAAATAATCTTCCCTGAAACTGTATGACAGGTCTTATCGGTACATGTAGGTAGTTATTTCATGGTAGTGTGTTTGGCATGTTTTGATTCTTTTGCTTGCACAGTGGGGTTTTACAATTATTTGTTTGAATGAACTTGGCCAGTAGCAGTTTGCAAACATCAATGGGCACAATGTTGTTTACTTTTCTTTCTGTGTTTTTTTTTTACACAGGACTGATAGCTTTTAGTAAGTTATTATTGATCATGACACTCATATGACCAACTCAGTTTGATTAAGGTTTAAAAATGTTATAATGAAGTACTTTATGAGACCCATATTTAATACCTGTAATACACTGTACCTTCCTGCTTGATTTCTTTCATCCACAGCAACCCTGCTCAGTTTGAACTTAGTCTTCGCTCCAGCCACTCCATAAACAATCCACAATGTCTGACGACAGCGTTAAGGCTGAAAAGCCCCAGGCAACTGAGCAAGAACCCAAACCAGAAGCGCAGGTAACGGCTGAGGTGGAGACCACACAGGAACCCGAGGTCATTGAAGACAAGCCCACCCCTCTGCCATTACTGGGGGGCAAAGAAAACCAGCAGGCGGCATCGTTTAAGAAACCGCTGGACGTGAAGCCTCAGGTGAACAAGACTTTTGCACGCAAACAGATCCACCCTGCTAGCAGGCTGGTTCCCGGTCCCCATATATCGATTCTAAAAGGGGATGGGAACCAGTCTACCCTGTGATAGCTGAATTGTTTTCAGGTCGCCAGTAATCAAGCAATGTTTAGAGCTGAATGGTTTTGGTTGTTATCAACAGTGAATTACTGTAAAATAGCTAGGACGGAACATCTTTACGCTAGCAATTTTCTCTGAACATTTGTCCAGTCACGGTAGCGTAACAAGTCATTAATGTAAATCATTAGTAAGTTTTGCCCTTCACCGACGCATAAACACTGTATACTCATGTGTCTTACCTCCCGAGTGAAAGTTGGAAAAAAATCACTCGGATGGTACTCGAACCCACGACCTGCTTTCTAGTGCAGACGTCTTACCACTCGACCAACGAGCTTGCGGGATCGGTTGGCTGGATTGAATCTGATGTGCATGTAGCATGTACATCATGCATGTATGCTACATGTACATGTACATCAGGTCAAGTAGTAGAACGTCTGCACTAGAAAGCAGGAGATCGTGGGTTCGAGTCCCACCCGAGTGATATTTTCCAACTTTCGCTCGGGAGGTAACACACTGAGTATACAGTGTTTATACGTCGGTGAAGGACAAAACCTAATATTGATTTACATCACCCTGACGCAAGTTCATCTTACGAGAAGTAATTAATGTATTGATAATACCATGCTGTGGCAACATGATACAAAACTTCATTTTGCAACACTTGGTTATGTATGCATTATCTGAAACAAAAGAAAAGTCTGACTATATCAGGCACAAGATGTTTGAATTGTAAAGCCATATACCGGTACATGCAGGATCATTTGCAAACACTCAAAAACGAAACTACATGCGCCCAAATATGGGGTCCGCCCATAAGTCCGACGCCTCATAGGTCCGACGCCTCATATGTCCGACAAAATCGCATCCCCTAACCAAATAAAGGCCCATAAGTCCGACGCCTCATAGGTCCGACGCCTCATAAGCCCGACGCCTCGTAGGTGCGACGCCTCATATCTCCGACGCCTCGTAAGTCCAACAAATTAAACGCCTCGTTTTACCGACGTCGGACTGATGAGGCGTCGGACTTATGAGGCGTCGGACCTATGAGGCGAAATAAATAAATCCGACGCCTCATAAGTCCGAAATTTCGGACTTATGAGGCGTCGGACCTATGAGGCGTCGGACTTATGATACGGCCCCCCAAATATTATGGCAAAGCCCACTTGACTGAAAGTAAATAATAATATGAAACATCCTGTGAACTGTGACCTGTGACTTGCACTTTGATGGTTGAAATTTAACATTTCATGAAATGATGACAACTGGAAATAATCCTAATGTACCTTTGTAATATTATCTTCTTCTTTTTTCTTGCCCTGAAGCTCTCCCCTGAAAAGATGGAGGAAGCCAAACTTAGTGCCAAATACGGCAAGCTGAAACCTGGTGGCTCAGACTTCCTACGCAAGAGATTAAACAAAGGCGTAAGTTTTACCGAGGAAACAGTGTGGCAAAATCATATAGGGTGCATTGGTTTGCTCACCCGGGTCGATACGGGTCAGCCGTGTGCCGTTTGATTATATCTGACGTCATTCTCGGGGCTCACCTGGGTCAGCCACCACAGACCCTGCTCATGGAGCAGAGTAAGTGGTGGAAATACGTCACACGCATGCGTTGTTCATTCCAAGAAACAGACAAATATGGCGGCCGGACAGCGGAAATCTCAAGTGGACTTACAAATTAACTTTATCTGAAGTCTAAAGGTAATCATATATGAGTTCATTGCGAATTTTGAGGGCATAAGTCCTGCCCAACTTTTTTGAGTTTTGCAATTGCCTGAAAAGCAGTAAATCTCAAACTAAGATCCAATATTTTTTTTAAATGGACTGCACAACTCTGCGTTTTGTCAGTGGCTACGGCCACGGCTACGGACATCACATGAGGATCGTGATTGCCCGCCATGAGCATGATTGCCCGACTGTCGTGGCTGACCTGTCTGCTTTTACCCAAGTCGATCCTGGTGAGCTACTCCAACGCACCCATAGATGGGCAAGAAGTGCCCTCTATGGACAGAGCAAGTTTCCTCTGACCTTCATTATGGAGGTCATAATGAAGGTCAGAGGACCTTCACAAGAAGTAAAGACTGTGGGTGTGCACTGAACCAGGTACCGGAGTACCCGACCTTTGATGTCTGGAACAGATTCCAGATTATGGGGTCGGGTACCCATAACCAACTTTACAAGTTACTTGGTATCTTCTCAGACAATGAAAAAGAAAGGTGTTGAAGTCATTTGTAGGGAATTTTCAAAAAAAAAAAAACCAGGCCACATGGGAAAACAAAACATATTTCACGTTAATGACGCTCGTGAAAGTGGCAGTTTACACTGAAAGCTATAAAGCTCACTGTACACACTTGTACATGTATCTTACTGTACAGACGCACAGCTGTGGTAGTATTATCGTGTAGACCTTTATGAACAATCATGTTCTGAAATGAACAACGGATGCCAGTTTTCCGGCTATTTATATTATTTTTTTGGGGGGGGGGGGGGACTCTGGCCCTTCACAGGCTGGAACAGAAATCTATGTGTTGCGTGCAGATGAAAAAAAAAGGCTTTATGTCGTCATTCAGCAAATTACGCATTGTTTGACAGTTGCTCATGCGCTAATTAACAAAATTAGATCCAGCGTAAGTTTTCTGCATATACTCACCATATTCACATTGTATGATAGTTTAAAAGCTAAGTGTTCTGGTGTGCGAGTTTCAGATCATTGTGCATAAGCAGCTAGCACCATGACAATCGCCATGCTAACGTGATACACAAATTTATGTATTGTACGTTCATTGTGGACATACATCAGTGTGTGGTACAGCGATGTGAGTATGGATAATGTATTGCGATCATGGCAAATTTTCAGTGGGTTTCTGAGCAGAAACCCATTGGCATCCCTGTTTCACTATCTAAAAATTTGGGACTCTCAATACACAGTTTTGGTAGTTCCAAATGTCATACTTAGTCCACATTCCACAGCAGACCTCCATGCACAAAGTCAATATTTTCAATTCATGTTGTTTTTTTTTTTTTGGTCTCTTTTCATGCCAACTTGGAATAGGTCAAATATTTTGACTCTGGGGATTACCAGATGGAGCAGCAGTCCGGTAAGATGAAACTGAGACCCAACAGCGGTAAGCCGATGGGTCTGGCCGGAGCCAGGGTAGGGGGAGCCATGCCTGCCCCCTCCCCCCTGGGTCCTGCCACCGGAAAGACCATCCCCACCCCTGCCTCCATACCACACAGGAAACAGTCCACCGAGATCAGTAAACTGGCTGTGTAAAAGTGGGCGAGGAAGGGGGATGTAACGAGAGAGGTAGGGGCAAAACAAAAGGGGGGGGGGGCAGAACTGACACTAAACCTGCTGGGGTCTTCATGTATCTTAACCTGTTTCAGTTCCATTCCGATCTTGAAACCAGGAACTGCCCAGCTGTATGTGGCTTTATTGTAACAAGATTTTTTTTAATCTGGAGTCCAGCTGGGTGCTAAGCATCCATGAATTGAACTTTAGCATGGCTATGTGGAAAAACTCTTAACGTGTGGAGGAAATATTAGTCTACATGTACATGTGTGTTGTAAAGAACCCTGTTGAATGAGAATAGTACACCTGTTATTTGTTTGTAAATTAACAAGGTACAACATTGTAATCATAGGTCACAACTTCAACCAATACATTATTGTTCAGTTTAGAGTAGTCTCATTTTCAAAATTACCCGGGTGTAACTTCTTTTTTTTACACTTTCCTGACTGCCACAGCTCATTGGTTTAACAAAAGCTTGAAGTAATTTTACATCAATTTTGACCGTAAGTAACCTGCTCCAGTTTATTGCATTAAGGTCTACAGAGAGTAACAGAACATTCATAGATCCATACATGTACATATACGTTGACAGCACAGATGACAACAAGCATGAGAAGTGACAAAATGGATACAACACAACATGCTGCCTTGCCAAAACATGACGTCAGAAACTGAGCTGAGACGAGTAAGCTTTTTGGGGTTCTTGTGTATCTGCCTGGCTTGAGGTAACCTTACTACGTAGGCATCCTTGTTTGGAAGTTCCAAACAAGGATGCCTACGTAGTAAGGTTACCTCAAGCCAGGCAGATACACAAGAACCCCAAAAAGCTCACTCGTCTAAGCTAAGTTTCTTGGAACTTTCTTAAATCCTTCAAAAATTCTCCACTGTGCCAGAATCTAGCGGAATTGCCTTTGTAGTTAAAATTTTGAAGTAGCGACAAAAATCTTCCAAACCTTTAAAGGGTTTTAAAGGATGTGAAAGTTTAAGGGTTAACAGAGGAGGTTGCTGTTGTGAAGATGCTCTACCTTTACTACTTTCGTCCACGGGAATTAGGTTTGTCAGTTTTGCCCCCCCCCCCCCCATTGTCCACGTTGATGATGACTGCCTGTATAAAGGAACACCCAGCCCATACATGTATGTTCCAGCTTTCTGCGAGGCCTGTCAACTTTTCAAACTGTGTTCACCAAATATTGATATGATTTGGTGAGTTTTCTATGTCAATGAATCAGTGATTTACTTAAAATTATTCCCCCTGTACTGAAAAACAAAACCAAAAACTCCCCTCTATTGTTTGGCTTTGGAGATACATGTACATGTTTGTATGGTTCGGAAAAATTTGGGTGAATACAAAAGAGTTTACCCAAGCCACCATCGTGTCCACCATTTCTCAAAACGCTAGGCCTAATTGTCAAACCTTGTCAAGAAGTGACAAATTTCTAATAAACTTCACATGAAATTTCATAGAATGTGTGAGGAGTATTAACAGATGGCAAAAAAAAAAGAACAGACATAACCAAATATTGCATGTAGTTGCTTTCCATTCATTCTTCCATTGTCTTGGAAAAGTTGACCGGCCTTCAAGTTGTGTATATAAATATTTGAATATTTTAGTGTTACCGTAAGGACGTAAAAGTTACGTGTAATGGACAGTATCAAGACGAATAGTGCAGTGATTGAATGGCCGCTGTGTACATGTGTACAAAATAACTGTTTGATATGCTTTGCTCTTTGTAGCTTTATTTCCATAGTGGATAGAGTCTGTATCATTTAGATAACTTCGTTGGTGTCTTGGTTATGTCTACTTTCTGGAAAATGGACATAGTTTCTGTTAACCTCATTCCAGTTGCTCATCAGTAGGGGTTAAATATATGTCATTTCGCCTCGACCCCATTTCTCTGTGGTTATTTGTTAATGTACTGCTGCAACAGTATACAAAATTACACGTATGTAATATGTACGCTAAATTATGTATAAGTTGTAAGTAAAGTTCTGTAATGTCTTTGATCTGTGGGTGTTTTTTGGGGTTATGTTGGTGAGTTATTAAACATTTGAGCGATATTGCCTTCATAATCAAAACGTTAGATGCTAGAATTTGGGGGTTTTTTGTAAGCTAAATTTCAGCAGCATGCCTGCCACTATGTATTTTGTTTTGCAGAGGATGCGAATGGAAATCTGCTGAAATGTCTTGAATAAAATCTAAAAAAGGGAGAGAGATGTACAACGGCGTGAGTACTTGTGTTCATTTGGCTGATGTCTGGCGCCCTCATGTGACTTCCAAAACTTCTTTTCTTTTTAAATGTATCATGCAAGAGATACTCCAACCTCGTCCCCAGTGCTTACTTAATTTTCAACCCCGTTTCCAATAGTAAGCCCTGGATAGGAAACTTTCTTCCTGTATCCTGATTCGATACCGCAATTGGCTAGAAATTGATTTATATGGTGTACTTGGTGGTGTTATTCACAATCTCCATCTCCATCTCCATTGTTTAAGTCAGCAAATTATCCTGCCGGATACATCAACACTAACTTGCGCACTGCGTGTGGAAATAGACTACTGGTGGATATTAGGCAAAATAAAAAAAAAACATGTTTAGCGTCCTGCCTCTTTGACAAAAAGGAAGGAGGAGGCCCTTTTTTTTTTTTTTTTTTTCAAAATGGCCGCCCGACACATTTTTCAAGACAACGCGGCTGGGCTATTTTTCAAGATGGTTACCAGCTTTTTTTCAAAATGGCCGCCACTTGGACTCATTGACTATTTCCACAGCTTTATACACGGTATAAAAGTCTAAAAATACGATTTCTTTCGTCAGAGATCGTTAAAATGTATCAATTTTTGTCTTTTAAAAAAAAAAAAAAAAAAAAAAAAAAAAGGAGGCGGCCTCTAAAAAGGAAGCGGGCGGGGACGCTAAACATGTTTGTTTTTTTACTTCGCCTTACTGATATGTCCCTTGAATTCAGCTAGTGTTGCACTGTTCACAGCAGCCGAGGAGAGTGAGTTCCAGTGTTTAACAGTTGACACGAAGAATGAATCTTTGAAGGCCCTAGCTTTGTGACTGACTTGAATGAATTTTTGGTTGTTTCCCCTTGTATATTAGGCTGAACATAGTTGTGAAGTGGAATGTCGACCAACCCATTTTTCATCTTGTAGAGCATACATAAATTCTGTTGATTTCTTCTGTTCTGTAGTGTGTCCCATCCCAAGTCATCCAGAAGTTTAGTAACAGTTCCCGTATCCCTTTGGTAGTTTCCTGTGCAAAATGCAATTTTATTTTAATTAAACTGTTACGATCTTAACGAGACAATAATCAGTATCACATTTCATATTAATATGAACAAATTGGAAAGGAAAGGAATATTTTAAAGAAGGCGTGGACGAATGATCGCGAAAACACACAACGTGCAGTACATGTTTTCGCGATCATTCGTCCACGCCTTCTTTAAAATATTCCTTTCCTTTCCAATTTGTTCATATTAATATGAAATGTGATACTGATTATTGTCTCGTTAAGATCGTAACAGTTTAATTAAAATAAAATTGTATTTTCATACTCATGCCATGCTCACAGGCGCTGTTTTTACCCCAGACACCGCACACAAAAACAAATGCAAATGAGACACACAGGCAGGCACCAGACCATTCCTCATTTGCATACATGTTCAAACATCTTGCGCATGCAAATGATCCAAATACCAGGGTGAGAGAGCAGGTAGTGGTGGGCGCGTACTGCTCGATACCCTGGGGACGAGGTTGGAGATACTCTGATCTTTGAGCATGAGCATGCAAGTCCGAATGGGACGACGGATGTTTGTTGCTTTGATATTGTCGGTCGTATAACTAGAGTAGCACAATGCGGCGTGTATTCTGGTTGACGTGCATAGCTGAAGTGTGCGAAGACATCAGCGCTTTAACCAGAACAAACACATCTGACGTCAGACTTTGGTACCCTATTAGGACCATTTTGTAGTGTAGTCCTTTTTCCAAGTCACTAAGTTCTGAAATGTATCAAAATGGACGAGACTGGACTTCGACTACTACTATTTATCAGGCGCGGATCCGGGGGGAGGGGGGGGGGAATAAAACAAAAACAGCTCTTGCTCAAATTTCTTACTGGTAATAAAATCTGCCTGTGCACAATATTCGGACAGAGCCAGCTGGAGTGGGTTATGGGGTATTTGTACCCAATCGTGTAATAAAGTGTTACTGATCGTCTGATTTGAACAGCGCCCCATTGAAAGTATGGCCATACATGGCACCACCTATTGATTTTATGGAGGACAAGTGTCCGGAGAAAAAAAAGCCTGTTTATATTTCAGCATTGATTTGCTGATGACACCCCCCCCCCCCCGCAAAAAAAATCCTGGATGTGGCACTCTTTGCTGCCGCCAATATTGCCGATATTGCAGACAAGACAATGATTTGTCGGCAATCATTAAAAGACTGATATAGGGAAGCACATCCACTACACCCACACACACCATCGTGAATTTCTATACGCCTGAGGACAATGCTTTGTTTTTCTCTTTGTCCCTGTTAGTGTGTAAACGTCTTCATCGTGGACCCCTATAATTGCCCCTCTTTTGTTTGTACTTTTCCTTTTTAGGAAGACATCCCATATATGTTTTGTACACGATCGTCAATTGTGGACCTTCGGGAATTGTGGACCTTATTGTCCTGTATTGTTCAACGTCCCCTACTGAATGCAAAACAAACTCATACCTGTAGACTACAGACGCCTCTGACTATAGTGTCTGCCACAAGAAAGGGAAAAAAACAATCAGTTAAAAAAAACAAGTTGGTAACACATTTCTCACCTCTTATAACGCTTCAGAGAGCTTGCAATTAGTGAGGAGTGAATTCCAATTTTCAGGTGCTAAAATGAATTCCCAGGTAAACCTAAGCGATCCTAGCTTAATTAATTCCAGCCACACCAGATCATTGGCCCTGCTTTGTAGAAGGAATTACTGTTTGTTACAAACCTGCAATTGGGAATAATCGAGCTCGCTGTTGACCTTTAAAAAAAAGCTCATGTTGGTTATTTCTGTCCGTGCTATTTAACAAATTTGATTCTTTTTCTGAAAAATGTATTTGTGTTTATTTGGGGGTTCATTCCGCGTTTATGTTGGGATCATTTGCACGCAAACAGATCCGCTCTGCAAGTGGATCAGTTCTCAGTTCCTATATTTTACACTGTCCAAATACTGTCTGGCCGCAAAAAATTCAAAAAGTCGGCGGTATGTAAGGGGACGTCTCTAAGCCTATTTAATTATTCCATTTTTTAAAATTCTGGCTGGAGTTCCTACATGTCAATTGGTGGTCGGTCGGTCGCTCCCCTGAAAATTGACCAAAAATGTTGTGTTCCATATAGGTATCGACGTCACATTTTTTTTTTTGGCGTCGCACTTTGCAGGGATCATTTAAGTCGATCGATTTCATGCAAGAGTTCTTGCAGCACGGCCAGAGCTTATTGTGCACACTCGCACTTGTTTGACCATGGAGGAAGGAACACGTTTGTATTGCTAAGTAAATGAACTGATTTTTAGGTGTTTTTTTTTTTGGGGGGGGGGGTGGGTTTGAAACTCACCTTTCATCTCTAAAGTATGTTTTCAAGTTTGCCTATACAGCAGACTCATCTGTAATGCCCTCCCGACACCCAACCCCCTCCCGCCATCCCAATGGACATGGCAGTTTGATTAGGTCTGGGATTTATGCGACCCCTATGTTGTCTGAGTGGCAGTTTTCATAACACCGTTGGGTCTCCTGCTGTTAATTTCGACGCCTAGAATGTGGAGAAAATAATCAAGCTGGCAGTGAGGTCGGAAGCAGCTATATCATAACAGTCTCAGCAGTCAGACAAGGGAGGTTGTTGAACAGTGTGATGTCCCTTAATTTGTTTCTTTCAGAAATCCTAGTTGGTAGAGGCCCTGTTTACGAACTATACAGTTTGCATGTTTATGAAAATAAATGTGTCGGACTATAAACTTTCATCACGTTGAGCTAGGGCAATTCCAGCGGTATGTAAAACATATTTTCCAAATCTTATAGTTATACATAAATTATTTCGTAATGGTTACGGAGATTATACAGACTAGGAGTTTTGGATCATTTATCTCAATCACTATTGTGGTTCTTTGACTCTGTCATGGACATCATGGACATTATACACTTCCTGTTGTAATGCTAGAATTGCCCACCCATCACTTCTGAGTAAATGTTTAATGATTTAAATTTCCCAATAAATCCTTTGCATTGCAGTCTCCTGTGAGTTATGTGTGTGCTTTTATGAATAACAATTAAGAAACTAAGTAAAAATACGGAAAAAAACATCTCAGACAGCTGTTCATGCTTGGGATGATTTTTGTTTTTAAACGGTTTCCAAACATCGCTAAAAGACCTTTTGCGTCGATACAAACCATTCCCCTTTAACTATGGCCCGAATTTCTTTTCTAGAAATGCTCAGGGTTAAAAATCACAATTTTGAAAAGCTTGAGATAAACAACAAAGGCCTTGCAATTTTCAAAATTTGGCAAAATTTCGACAAAGTCGAGGGGAAAAAAAAGAAAGTGCAATACGAGCAGTACAAAAACTAAACATAAGATTTTTGGAATAAGATTTCCCCATGTTTTCATTAATAAATTATCTTACAGACCAATATTGTTTGTATATTTATTTGTGAAAAATGTCTGGATCAACCAAGAAAAAAGTTACAGCTTACAAGAAATTATCACGGCTTGAGGAACAGAGTTTGTAAGTTTTCAAACCTGCATGCGAGTGCAGAGTATTTATTCTATATGAGCCACACTCTCACTGTACATAATGACTGCCACACAATTATAGACAATAATAAAAATGGATATCAGTTATATTGCATTTTTTTTCTTACGATAAAATATATACAATTCTTAACAGTTGTAGGTTTGGAATTTGAACATTTCCAAGACATGAAATAAAACATATTTTGTTATGAAGACAACATCTGCGCTCACACTCTTTCCCCCTTGAGTATGAGCTAAAGAAAACAAATAGAAAGCTTTATAATTGCTGGAGAAAGAACACTGAATTTATGATCACTGAATGTTCGCAGGAAAAAAAAAGTGGAGAAAAAGTGATTGATTTATTAATGACAAAAACAAACCGACAAACAAACAATTGCATAATCTTTGAAATTTTCATCAATGTTTTCCCTCTGATGCTGTCATGAATCTTACCAAGTTTGCTTGTGTGCTCTTTTGCACATAAAAGCATTGCATTATTCACACAGATTTACAACTTATCCACACAGATTCACAACTTATTTGGCAGCTGTGATGATTAACTACATTAAAAATTAACAACTAATGTGTGTACACCCGAGGGACAACAAATTATATATTGACGTGGCTATTTCACAGCAATTACTGCCCCATGGTCCTCAGAAGGACGTTTTCATAGAAACCCAATCATCTGCCCTGTAATAACCTATCTGGTGATACAAATGTATAGAATAGTATGTTACAGCATGGCGATAATTGCGGACCACCAGGTGTGTGGTACTGTATAGTCTTCAAAGACAAATTAGGCAAATCCATTCCGTCCGGTCGCAAGATTATGATAAAAAAATTAATAAATAATGGCCGGTGATATAAGCATCCTTGGAATTAAGAGAAAACCCTTGGCAGATGATCCTGAAGACTTTAAGGCAGCTTGGATTAGAACTAAACCCAGAAGGAATTTGTAAATTTTGTGCTCAAATACCAAGATTTTATTTGGATTGATTTTATAAGTACAGTACCGAATTTGAACAATCACAGTAGTACATCACATACCTACTATATTATGCACTGAAGTATGCCCCTATCCCCTGCTGTCAATTTTCGACTTATTAATAATGCATGTATCTAATAAAGGATTGGATATAAAGAATCCGTATAATTAAATTTGCAAAACAAAATATGTGGGTAATTCCAGCGTTATGAAAGGAAGTTTAATGTCCATGACAGAGCCAATTAACTATGATATCTGATTAAAGATTCAGACTGATCCGGAACTCCTAGTCTGTAATCTCCTTGACCGCCACCGGTACTATATGATGGATGTCAAGATTTGAAGGGGGATTCCTTTTCATGCTTATTCACTGAGCTCTTAACATCGCTGTAACGGACATTTCATAACATCGCTGGAATTACACATGTACTTTAACGGGCAAGGAAAAGAGTACTTGCATTTTGTGTCATTTCAAAATTATATTGAAATGTCCGTTTCTGATACCAAAACAGGCTACTTCCTGATGTTCACAGTTCAAATTTTTGATCTCACTGTTTTATCTCACTGTAGTTTCTATAGTAAGGTAGTTTTTTTCTCAGAGTTGACCTCAAAAGAAAAAAATTCTGACAATTTTGTAGACTAAACGGCATATATTTTTTTCCCTCGGGCAACATCCGCTGTGTCACAGAGTAATACTAGTATTAATGGTAATTCGTCGAATCAACGATGACATCTTCAAAATTCATTAGAGTAAAGTTGAAGTGATTGCTTAAGAGGTCGAAAGTAATGGAAACAGACACACTGGTGTATAACATGTCATCAGGGATTAAAGTGAAAACTAATTTATTTAAACCCAAAGTCAACTAGTTTACTTAAATTTTCAACTTAAAAATTGCAGGCTTGGAATGCTTACGAGGACAGAAAGTTTCTTAAATCTTTGCCTTTAAGTACAAAGCTACTTGCTGACAACCATACTTTAAAATCTCTTTTTCTCTTTTTTAGACAAAGTTATATAAATCTACATGTACCTGATGTTTAGTTAAAAAAATAATACAAATAATTACATCACACATCTGCTTGCTACAAGAACATCCCAAACTACAAAAATAAATGTAATAAATCTGCGTTTTGTTGTTAAAGCTGCCGTTTATGAAACAATGAATAAAACAAAACAAACAGAAAAGTAAAGAATTTAATGTTAATTGCAAATTCAAGTGTGAATGTTTGCCATGCTGGATTCATGAACGCTTTAATACAGCCCTTCACATCACTACTTGTGCGTTTTTCTTTCTACATTAAAAAAAATTCCCAACTTTTTGAGGGAGATTATTGAATCAACTTTGTTTGTTCTACAGTTAGTTTTTTTGTTCTTTACACTGTTTCCATATTTACAAATATACAAGCATGCATTTCAATATACATTACTTTGTTGCGTAGATTATATTCATTAATATAATACAGAATATCACACATGTATACATATATAGTATGAGATATATCTTTTTTCTCCGTAAAATTTCTAATGTTTGAGACGAGCCAATCGCAAGTGAATCACAAGTCAAATTAGCAATTAACAGGGGAATACTGACGAAGGAATAATGTCATTGTCTCTTAATAAATGTAGCATGTTACTTACTGGCTTAAAGAGAGCACTTGTTATTGAGTTTTGATAATCCTTGAATACTGAAGAAGACGGAGCTATGCGGTTGGTTAGTTTGACGTCATCTCAACTTTAATAACCATGCGTACTTCACACGTAGCATAGCACGATGGAACGCAACTTGAGTGTTTAGCCAATGGTCGCTTGTAATCAGTGGTGTGCTTGCGTGTATGACATTCTTATTAACGAACCGGATAGTGGTTAAATTTAAGAACGCTCAAATGATTGCTTGATCCATTTAGGCACCAGTTAATCAAAATCCCACACTACATGTTCCGGCTGTACGCGTCACACGCACGTGCACGCATGGCAGACTTTATGCGCGCATGTTGAACAGTAATTGCCACTGTGATTGGTCAAAAGCGTCATTTAGGCAGGGCTTAATGGATCCATCTATCAGGTTCGTTAGTGTGACGTCAGTTCAGTTTAAACCACGCCCACTGCACATTAAGTAGCATTGGAACCACTGGAACCAGAAGTTAACGCAACTTGAGTGTTTATCCAATGGGCGCTAGTAATCAGTGCTGCGCGCGCCTAGTATAGCGAAGTCACTAACGAATCGGATAGATAGCTCTCAAATGACGTCACTGCCAGCAGATTGCCACGTGCATCGGCGTTTTGGGAGTCACCTTTTCATGCCGTATTTCGAAGAAGTTTCGAGCAACATGCTTAAAATGTTTAGAACATTTTGCACACTGCACGCATGCGTACCTAATGGCGTTGAATGACTGCTATGTATGATGAGAAGGGTCTTTTACCATAGTAATGCTTAACATTTATGTATACATGGATTTAACAGAAAATTCACTTTCCTTAAGTTAACAACATTTGCAACAAAAAGTACATGAATACATGTACATGTATATAACGGTATATTGCCATACATCATGGAAGGAATTTGAACACTCAGAATTAACTGTTAAATTGAATTTTAGTTCACACATAATATCTCAATACCAGCCTTTCATGCAATAGATTCTGAATAAGATTTCTCATATTTTGTAATTTATTATATATATTTACAATTGTATATGACGCTGTACAGCTAACGGTATTTACAATATTGAATGTACCTGCAATGTAATATAAGTTGTGCTAGAACGTTATGTACTAGATCAGAATCGATAATTGAGAGTACATTAATAACATGTAGTTTAAACACATCCAATTAAAAACACACTTCTGTAGGTTTGTTTGTTAAAAGCAGAAACACAAAACCATGGAAAAATAGTATTTAACAATTAAAGCAGCACACACACACAATCACAGACACACAGTTGTTTTTTGCTATGCTTCCGAGGATTGGCTTTGTGTTTTCCTTTGTTCCCTGATCTAAACCTTTCCCATAGACTTAGTGCACAAACCGGCGTTCGAGGACAATAGGCACCGTCGTTCGAGGATGAATGGTCCCTTTGTGGTCCTTTTGCTGTCTGTCCTCGAGCGTAATACAATACAGGAACACATTTTTTTCATGGTGTAAATCAAGGATTTTCTATTGTTCCTCTTCCATATTCCTTTAGTTTATACTCTAACTTTTTTGCAACAGCTCTCATTGGTTTGGATACATTTTCTAATCGAGGTCGCCCTGGATTTGGTTCCTGTCCTCGATTCATCGATGATGTTGCACGTGTGTGGCCTCGATCTACACCATTAACACGCACACACTTTTGAAAGGTACCGATACAATGCATAATTGACTTAAAACAGAGTTATTTTTCTAAGCAATAACAATTCTATGGAGCATATATGTAAATTGTTAACGATATGTATTTTGATCTTTACATTTCTTCCATTACATTTCCACATTTTTATACCAAAGTATGACATTGATTAATACTTAGGAATTTGTGCCGTAGGAGCTGTGGTGCGTGTGTCTCCCATATGCCACGTGGCCGAAGGCCGAGCAGTATATGGAACACACTGAGATGCATAACATTTTCCCAATTCACCTTCAAGAAAATGTAATGCACAGATAAGATGGAACACACACGCTTTACACAGACTTTTTACAGTTATCGTATTACATTATCATGCACATGTGCATGCAGTAGGAAGAGCGTGTGCATCTTATTAGAAAAGCACGATGCGCGGAGTGCGTGAGTACAATACGAATCTGGACCATATCGTAGCTTTTTGGTAATACTTCTGAAAAAAAATGCAAATTTTAGTTAATGGATACTGAACATGTAAATTCCAACTTGGGAAACTACAAATGCCTCATATACTGTTTAATGGAATGTTATAAAAGAATTTTATGTTACATCTCGTTAATAAAGCTGTCATAACCAAAATTATACTTTATATTTTATATGTACATGTACAGGGCTTTATTGCACGTTGAATAAGAAACAGCAAACACAACAATTTCCACACGATGTACTTCCAGTTTGTTCTATATGCTCATGCACTGTACAGCAGTATCAAATTGAACTGTGTAAGAAATACCCACCTCAGCGGCGACCTCTGTGTTACTAAAGAATATCAACTGAAAGAATTTTTGGAGAGATCCCAACATTTGTTGCATTCATAATCAAAACATACTATACAGTCCTCCTTCCTTCACAATTCAATATCACATCAACCATTGTTTGCACGTATTTTCTAGCTTCTGAAAGACCACAGAAATGTTATTCTAGAGTAAGATTTCATTAAACACCCTTTCCACTGACACCGACCATCCATTCTCGCTCCCACTGCGACACAATGAGGCATGACATTCGCTTGGACATAACTTTCAATATTCATGTGCGTGTGAGCAAAAAAATGTCGTTACCACCCTGGAGCATACCCTTGGGGGACGACACTTCTAGATATGTGCGAAATGAAATTATCGCTGAGAGGAAGCGGAATGAATGCATATCACCGTAACATGATTCCTGATAGGGATCGTTTGCGTCATTGACGGCTGAACACATGGAACGCCGTTCTCGTCATGCTGAACGCGCAATAACTAGTGTACTCAGTGTGTGGTTTGCCGCGTGAGGCTGGTTATTGAACTATGTGAATTGTGCATGCATTGTGCGCACTGCGACTGCATATTGTCTAGTAACTTAAGATCTCTGCATAAGCTTTTGCAGGCTTGGGAAGCTGGGGAATTTTTTTTCCCACCGACATGAACATCCATCACCCTCCAACTTTCCCCAAATTTCCAAGACAATCACAAAGAAAACCCAAGGATACAGAAACTCGCCATTCACAAATGATTGTTAATCAAATGTCTAAATACTGAAAAGTGACAAATGCGGACAACACTCTCTACTTTCTCCCAAAGCAATTGACCATAGTCTTTGCAAAATCATCTTATTTCAAAGTAAAATCTTCACGCATTAACAGAAAAGAAGCTCACTCACTGGAACCTGAACCAACCATGTAAAGTTGTCCATGTTGTAAAAGTGGGGTGCAAACCTCTGTCAAGTTCCGCATTAGCTATTGTTTATGGTGTACATCTACGGTTTCTAATAGTGTTCTCCCGATGGCTTCGTTTGAACTCTTTACCTTTTCTGCAACTCCTCTTAATACAATTCATTTGAATGGGAGATGAAACTTTCAAGCATTGGGTTTTGCCCTTCACCGACCTCAGACATCTGCACTAGTAAGCAGGAGGTCATGGGTTCCAATCCCACTCGAGCAAGCTTGTGAATGTTGCTTTCTTGCCGTCTCCCGAACATCACTGAGCTTTAAAAAATAACACCTTGAAGGGCAAAATCTATTTGTAATAGGCCATTTTCGATTTGGAAATGAGGGTTAAGGAAATGCCATTTTCTGGGTTGAAATGACATCACATTTATTGAAGCACTTAAACAACCTTTATACTTAAATAAATCTTAAAATCAAAGACTATGTAATTTTTTAATCACAGCAAACTACCGGTAGCAACATGGGATCTCATGTCAATAACTCCAGATACATGCCAGTTTGCAACCCTTAAAATGGCATTGTTGCAGCACAAAAAAAAGTTGGCCCTTTTTAAAATTTTGTATCTTATGTAAAACACAAGCGCACATAAAACGTTACAAACAGCTACTGAGTAAGCAGGCATGGGATAATTTTGTTCTCCATCAGCAAGCTGACGGTGATGAAGATGAAGTACAGAACAAACATGGCCGACCCCAGGACTTTAGTCATTTGCCAGCGGGAGAGCGCTATGGCGACGATGACCAGGATCAGCATGCCGAACAGGAGCAAGATGGAGCAGAACAGGCCCTTGGACTCCACGGTGACCGCTAAGCCTAGCTGGGTGATGGACCAGATTAACCATGGTAGCGGCAACCTGAAAAACATCATCAAGTTTATTGAGGGGTTTTAAATTCAGATTTTGTGAAGCCTTAATATAAGGGATCAGCAATAGATGACGCAACTCCTTCTCTTAGTATCAATGGAAAAATATCAGTACTCATTTTTACATCATTTGTCGAAGTGGTGGAAGTTACTTTTTACCTTTTTGGGGGGGGGGGGGTGGTAGCCTTTAGACAAGTCTCACACGCTTACCTGGACACGTGACGCACACCAGATGCTGACACGTAAAAAAGACTAGCACGAGCGGCGAAGCCGCGAGGGCCTTTACCATCTCGTGGAGAACGCTTATGTTTTTCTTCACATTTGTCTACCGATTTGGTAGACATGCATAATGCATTACCCGTTGTGAATCGACCAATGAAAATGCAGAATTACTTGTACTAACGTAAATCAGCCGTCGTCTGGCGCCAGACAGCACGCGCGCCATGGCGTGCTGGCGCGCGTGCTGTTGCTGGTAACCGCAAACCACCGTTAGATGATTGGTTTATATTGCTTGATTTATATTACGTGAATAAATGAGTAAGTGATTAGTTCCACGAGATAGTAAAGGCCCTCGCGGCTTCGCCGCTCGTGCTAGTCTTTTTACGTGCCAGCATCTGGGGTGCGTTACGTGTCCGGATGGTCCGGGTATAGGCGCGCAGGACTTGACTAAAGGCTAGGGGGGTGGGGGAGGGAGGGGGATTTAGAATTCTTTTGTGTGAATTACAGTATTTTCCTTTCATTTACAAGGCTTTGGAATGCATTTCAGGGCTGTCCCAAATACACCAAATACTCAAATATTCTTGAATAGATTCGAAAAACAAAACAGTGCACATACACACACGACTGTGATGTTATTGTATTGCAAAGTTGCAGCACTTCATTGTCAGGTGCCACTTGACGGTAACGTTTTTATGTACAACGGCTCATTATTCAAACAGCAGGTTAAAGCCGTTTTAAAAAATACTAATTGCAAAAGACTCCAGTGCCCCAATATCAATTGCCGCATGCACATTTGAACTGGCACACTATTCGTTCAACTCTTTACTGGCGCAGCATGCAGTGCATCTGGCAGTTACGAATATCCCAATATTCGGTCAAACGCAGTTTTGAGTATTCAAATACAAAATTATTCCAAAAATGGACATCCCTAATGCATTTATTTTTGTTTGTTTTTATGTGGTTACTCCAGTTTTAATATAAAAAAAAGACTAGGCTATCAACTGCAGAACAATATCTTGATTAATAAAATTATTTGGGAAGTAACATGTTTGCAAAGTACACCCGGTAACATCAGCAAATCTGAATCAAGTCTCTAACCTTCACGCTTGCCATCAATGTTGGGAAAAACGAGGGTAAAAAACAAGGAGGCTAAAAACAAGGAGGGAAGTCAGTTTTAAAATGACAGACAGTACAAACGATGGAGTGAGTGGGAGAAGTTTGACTATTAGCAGCATTATTTTCATTCAATTACATGTATTATTCCGAGATATTGCAGACACAATATGGGAGGGCCCTTTTTGTTTTGTGTAAACCCTTTTGTATTTTATCCATGAGGTGTTCTCCGCATCTCATAAAGGCTAATGCTCGATGGTGGTTGTTGGAGTGGGTTGTGCTCATCCATCAATAAGCAGACACCACGCTGTGCTGTGAGGCATTAATTGCGTTCATTAGTTTTTAATGACCAGCTCCCTCATGCAAGCTCCCCTAGCCTGCTCCTCCATTCCTGGTGTGGGATGGGACACCTGTCACGGCTGATTAAGTATGAATGATGACCCTGAACCTAATATAGAAAGCACCTCCACTTGGGAGTGGAAGAAAACTTGGCTGGGGACCCAGACATGTCTTTGAGTATCCAAGCAGAGACCTGGAGACAATACTGGGGCCGGCCCCTCTGATTAAATGTTAACGGCTATTAATTTGATCTATCAGGGTTGCGGGTTTCAGTAAAGGAGATCGAGACACTTATTGTTGTGGCTCTTGAGCAGTGATCGTGGCTGGTGAGAGGAATTGAGCACGTGGCAGGGAACCAATTTGGGAAAAGGATTTTTTGGGTCAATATTGATGTGAGGGGGAGTTTTGTATACAAGCACAAGAGAGAGGGTAGAGGTTGGCACATGGGGTAACACATAGGGTGACAGACTAACTGATGGATGCAAGGTGGATGCAAACAGGGGTAAGCATGCAGAAAGACTCGCAAAGTGAAAAGTAAAGATGTCGGGCGAAAGAAATTTATTGCGGGGACAATATATTTTGATACACCCTATAGAGGTGGGTTGATCATTACACTGCCAGCACCATCAGCACATTTGCAAAGTTTTCACTGTAGGCCTATTATGTACATACCCAACGGTGACGTCGAATATATTGCTCCCCACCGAGCTGGAGACTGCCATGTCACCAAGCCCCTTCCTAGCAACTATGACACTGGTGATAAGGTCTGGTATACTGGTACCCGCTGCAAGGAATGTAAGTCCCATCACCTGAAACAATAAGGAAACCAAAATGGTCAGCAATGACAGAGTTCTAGACAAGTTAGCCTCACAAGTCAATCACACAATCTCCATATACGGTACATTTGGACAAATCTGGGCATGTGATAACTGCACACTCTTGATGAGGCCCCCTTCAATGGAGAAACCATTATGCACACTATTGTATTAAGCATCTGTCAAGTGACAATTTTCTGAAAAATAGCTAGCACAATGCTTTCGCCATTGAAGGGGGCCTTTGTGATAAAATTGGCAGCATGCCCGGATGGGTATAGAGTCTCAAGTCAGATCGCAAGCATTTTCCACAAACAGCTACATTTGAGTAAAGTGCGGCAGAAGCACTCTTTGTTTTCAGTGTCCGTCCCCTAGCTGTTACTTGTCACCTTGCTTGTGACTGACTTGTGATTTGGCTTAATGTGTGACGGACTTGACAATACAACCTTGTACAGTAACTCTTTTATCGGTGGCAATTTGAAGCGCCTTGATCCAGCATCAATTTTGACGGATTTGGCGCTATATAAGAATTGGTTATTATTATTATTATTAATTTACCAAGGAACTCAAACAAGCTGCATGGACTTGAATGCTGCTGATTACTGTGGCTGCTGACAGCTGAATGTCAATGTGGACTTGACATATTATGTGCTTTTCAGCCAACTGGAAAATTCTTTCATTGAAAACAGATGCGAGTGTGCTGTGTTTGCACTTGGATGGTGCTTTGAAATTCAATCCCAATCCCTACACATTCAAAGCTTCGACCATTTCTGCCTTCATCATAGCAAACATGCAGTGCGTGTATCGGTATGTAAAACTGTATTTGTTCTTTGTAAAAACATGTTTTGTTCAGTTCAATATTTAATTGGAGAAAAAAACCACAAAGTCTAAACTGAGTACATGAATGTTCAAGCAAATTGCAGCATTGATTTGCTAATGTATGCACTGGCCCTCATGAATGTACTGCATACTGAAAAAAAAAAACTCCCTATGGACACCGTCCATGAACAATAATTGCGCTTTTCGACCACTTTCAAGTGCGCGCACTGGTTTGCATGCATACTGGTTTACAGGCGTATGGCACAAAGTATACGCACGACTTATTTTATTCTGAATGTGCACAAAGCCATAACGTCTTCGTATGCATGAGCTTCAGACATCACCAGCAATGCGTTCCAATGACTTTCCCAGTGGTCTCCCCCTTTGTAACTTGTGCAAGGAGTCCATTTAAACTACCCTTCCTTTTGCTAGCAATGTTGCCAGAAACATAAGTTTGAATGTCAAGGCAGATGTTTATTTGCAGTGTCAATAGCTTTGGTTCACTGCATAGGCAAAACCCTGACAACCAGGATGGGGATAATTAAGACAGTGAGCTACAATTTAATACCTCATCACTGAATCCAATGGTCTGCCCAAAGACTGTTGCCCACCACAGCATGAGGTAGGAGAAGAGTGCAATCCACAAGATACTGCCTAGAAAAGTCGCCGGGTAATATTTCCTCTTTTCCTGAAATGAGACAACAACAAAAAAAAACCCAAAACATCAGTCAACACTCGTACTTGTCTTGGTCACTGTTAAATTTCATTGATCTGGAATGGTCACATACATGTACATGTACACGTATCCTTGAAATGAGAACAGTTTACAAAAATGAACGTGACATCATTTATGTCACTCACATGTGAACCTGGCACACAGTGTTGTCACAAGTCACGTAACTTTGTGAGTTGAGTTGAGTCGAGGCAATGACTCAAGTCTAGTCTGGTTGTTCTTAAGCAGTGACTTGAGTCAAGTCGAGTCATTACATGTAGAGTTTAACTATTAGGTCGACTAGTCAAGAGTGGATTCAGATTCAGCAATTGATAATTTCTGGTTCAGGGATGATGATAGTATTAAAAGCTAAGTGCAAGGCTGGAGTTCGTGGTTAGATGCATAATTGTACTGCAAGTTAAAGCCACATTTAAAGCCACATTCGCATTGAACTTGATTTTGTAATCAGATTACACCAAGTGATTGTTAGCATTTCATTGTGGTTATTCTACCATATGCCTCCGCACTACATTTAATTTTGGTCAATGGAAAGTAAGTCCTTACATAAAACTAACAATGTAATTCTTCCGCGACCCAGTTGTCCCTGCACTACAATTAATTTTGGTCCACGAAAAGTCATTAATTACGTAAAACTAACAATGTAATTCTTGACCCAGTTGGCCCTGTGAAACTTACTGCTGTAGACCGTAAAACTTACAATCGACAGTCGACACTTGACGATAAATTTACCGGCTGTCCGTACTGGACTTTCATTTGGCTAAGTTGACAACAGTCTCCGTTAGTTTTATCCAAAATAAGTCCCATGCGAACATGGCTCCATTGTTCTTGATGTGAAGTTGAAGCTTGTTAGTAGCCACTGTAATTATTTTGTTTTTGTTTTTAGGGACTTGATCGAGTGGTGATGAGTTTTTTGCTTGCAATTGTTGAGTCATATACTGGCACCCCACACAAGTCATACATGTACTCATCACAGCAGTCAACAATTGTTAGGTGTACAGGTACATGTACAACTCAGCTTGTCAGGCTTGTGATTGGCAATATATACATCTGTACATGTATACATTGTAAACAAACTCATTTTGGCGAACACCGGAGAACACACACGGGGCAAAACCTGAGAAAGGCTTGACATTTGTAGCACAACTTCTATCCCCTTGTGATTTCTGTCACTGGAAATGCATGTAACCATGCCTCTTGAGCAGGTACGACTATACAGGTACCAGCTCAAAAGACAAATGCTCAAATGCCATACATGTACACGTGTGCATGTTTATGGTGTAAATCGAGGACACACACGTGCAACATCATCGGTGAATTGAGGACGGGAATCAAATCGAGGACGACCTCGATTAGAAAACGTGTACAAAACCAATGAGAGCTGTTGCGAAAAAGTTTAAGTACAAACAAAGGAAAAGGGAAGGGGAACAAAAGGAAATCCTCGATTTACACCTTAAACAAATGTGTACATGTACCGGTAGGTGTGCTGAAGAAAATGAACATTTGACATTTTCGAGTTCTAGGCATCGAACCAGATAGCCAGCTTCTCCTTTCTGCTTCATAATTCAGCTGCATTATCTGGTGTTATAGTCATCGGAGCTTATTTGGGGAACTGCAGGGTCCTATCAGGTTTGCACAGAAATTGCACAGGAATAGACCTTGTGCGTGGCAGCCATCTTGGAAGGCAGTGTATTTGCTCTGTTAGGATACATATGAGTAGAAGTGTAGAACTTTTTTTCATGTGCTGTGACTTAATGAAAGTGTCACACATGAAATCTTATAAGACCACTCCCGTAGTGTTCTGATTTTTTAACCGGGTAAATGATACACACATTGCATGAAATATAAAAGCCTAAATTCTCTTTGCATATTTAAATTTAGAAGGAGTTAAAATCTGAAAGGCTTGGCCTACTTTGTTGTACATGCAGATGGAATAGGGGAAGCAAGAGCTCAACGCTTTCAATTTCATTAAAGTGATCTATCCTACTACATGTACATGTAACTCTCCTGTCTTGGGTCCTTGCTGATTATGTATTGCAACTGAATTGAAAAAGCATGTTGCAAAATAAGTTGAGATATTTACGGCTCTTCATGAGAAGCGTTCTAAATGCTTCAATTAACTTACGATGTGTTTTTAATTCAAATCAAACAGTTGTCGAGTGCCCTACTGTCCGCACACGTTCAAACAGATCGGCCAAAAGCCTTGATCTGCAGTATTCCAGCGTGCGCTACAGACGAACACTAATTACACGATCCGCACTATGCAAGAACGGCGATAGAGCAGATGCCGAGATAATGCCATTGCATGAGTGATTAGCCAGGGAAAAGGTTATAAATCAAATATAGCGGCCCAGGAACACAAGTGGCTTGAAGTAGGTGTGAAATTTGCCAAATGGCTTTCTTAGATGTGCGAGAAAGCCCTTGAACATGAGGCAGTCAGCTTGACAGCTTTTACAGAGACCACATCTTGGAGACTGTGCGGTGCTGGCGGCTTAGTTTTTAATGTCAACAGGATGGAAAAAAGGGCAAAACTCAAGGATGATTTGAGAGGCTCTTTGGGATGACAGGAGAGGAGTTTATGATTTGATTACCTCAGAAATTATGTGGGTGAACAGAATGGGAAAATGTGGCAATCCGAGGGCTGGTCAAAGGAAAAAAAGCAAACAACTAAATAGCTGGAAGGGGATGAGTGGCTTTTGAAAATGTGGGCCAGGGACAAGCAGGTTAAGAGACAATTTACGGATGAATGGAGGCACGGATGAAGAAAGATGGAACAAGGGGATCAAGTACATACACATGGACAGAAATATGGGAAGTATGAAACCATTGGAGATTGTGTTGCAGTAATCAGAGCAGAATCTGATAATGATTGGAAGGGGTTGAAAGAGACGATGATGTGCTAAAAAAGACAAAACAAGACCAGGCTTGCCCAGTCAAGTTGGACCCAATTAAGTCTCAGTTTACTACATGTATTTAAGTTTTTAACGCTATAAACGTTAACGCTATAACGAACACCACTGTAACAAACATTTGGTTATAACGAACATCCCTTTTGGCTCCCAAAATAGAAAATTCTATTATGCACAATCACTATAACGAATGACCACTATAAAAAACATTTTTTTATGAACCCCATCGTGTTCGTTGTAGTGGCGTTCTGTATAGCATTATTTAGAGATCTTGTTTAAATGTGTTGCGGGTAATTTGACTCATGCCTGGGGTTCCATGCACAACAGGAAGAAAGGGATGGTTGGGGGAGGCCACTGGGAGAGACAATCGTCGAATGCATTGCCAACAACACCTGACGCTTACGCAAAGACGCTATGGCTTTGTGCAAAAATAATTACAAATAACATTAGTCATGCGTACTTCGCACTATACATGCAGGCACAAACGGGTACACGCACGCGGTATGCCCCATCCACTGGGCTCTCAAACGTAGTAAAAAGCGCCCTCTCTTGTTCATGCACTGAGCCCATCCTAGCGACACAAACCACTACCCTCTCACACTGCATATTACTGCATAAGGTCTATAGACTCAGTGTTTCAATCAGTCACTTAGTAACTCAGTCAGAGGGCAGTATAGCCTTTGGGTCAAGCAAAAATGGGACAGGAAGACACATGTTAACTGTGGAGGAGCATCTGGCTGCACTTACACTGTATGAGTAGGGGAGGGTCTCTTGAGGCATGTGTTAAGGAAGTAACTGAAGCAAAATATGAAGTGCGTAGGAGCCTGGTGGCTTATTGGTTGCGCGGGGAATGGGGTCCTTAGAGAAGGAGGTACATGTATGAGCTTAAGCAAGAGAAGAGAACAGGATGTCTGGTAAACAGAAATGTACAGTCAGTTGTAGGAGCGTAGGGGCTACAAAAATGCATGAGTGGAGCTGCTGCTGGGGTCTGCTAAGCCAAGGGATAAAGACACAGTTGGAGCCAAGGGATGTTAGGAAAACCTTAAACCTGGGAAATGGTGATCACTGATGAAATAACGGAAATGGAAATGAAACAAAACAGGAATGAGTTTCATACACGCATATTTGTACAAAACATAGTAAAAGGTGGAAATTAGAAAAAGATTGGAAAGTCAAAAAGGCTTCAGAAGAGTGTTGCATAATACATGGATTTTACCCTTAAAAAGAAATGAAAACGTAAAGAAAAAAAAATAGAGAAGGAAAACATGATACATGTACTTCTATGAAATAAATCCTTTCCTACCGGTAGGTGACAAGCAATATACAGTGTGATAGATGTCAAAGTGCATTGCTGCGATATTGGTTCGTCCAGACGGCGTGCATGGCACAAACACAATAAATTGCACTTCGCACGTTCCGTTAACTTGTTTTTGCGCTTTTAAAAAACCCATAACGGGCAGCCTTGTGACATAATGGAGCTGACAGGCAATTCAACGGTAGCAGAATGGCCAGAGATATTTCTCATTATGTTGCGGTTTGGGTGGTAATATCCGCTGCCACTGTGGATGACTCCGGAGCATTGGTCAATATATTCTCTCGTACATACAAATGTACACACAGACGTTGGTACACATTAAGTTTAATAACAATTCTCTGAGAATTCTCCACATTTGATGCATCATTATTTGGGTAAATTGCATTTTGAGCGTGTGTACATGCGAACATCCATACATGTACATGTATCTACAAGATCTTTTTGGCCCGTGTTGTAAAACTGCTATGAAATTCCATGACCTGCCAATAATTGCTGACCAGACCAGAAAGTGTGAGGCAAATTTCACAAAGAGTTGAAAATGTGGAAAGAGAAAATTGTTGTTAAATGGTGTATATATTTCTCTACATGTACCGTACCGGTAAATGTTTTTGGTTCTATTTATCCTTATTCTTAAAGTCTTTTGAATTTAAATGTATGGCACTGGCACCAAAGTGTACTCATGGGGTTGCTTTTAATGGAAAAGCAAAATAAACTGTTTTTCAAATATAAAAAAAGCTGGTCCTTCCAAAGGGAAATAAGACTGAGGCTATTTTTCTTATTGAGGTCACAGTTATTGCAACCATGTTGCAACGAGTACTGACCACTGACAAAACCCCAGGCAAAAGCATCTCAATTAGATCTCCAGCCTCTTTTTCTTTCCTCGTGAAAAGCACAGGAGAATAGAATGCGTGACCACCACTGACTAAAACTAAATATGGAAATGGACAGGTTTTCAAATATCTCTTTTTAAATGCTGTGTCACTGAATCATTTTGGCATCCGAGCTCAAAGGAGCTCTCCCTGATCTTCAAACAAATTCCTCTTTTTTTCCCCTCCTAACAAATGTGTAAATTTTTGCTTTATTACAAAAAAAACCACACTTTGTTTCGCATCATTTAGTTATTCTATAAATAAACACCAACAGACTGGGTTGTTCAATGTATTTACAACTGAACAAGTTTTTGCATTGCTAGAAAAGTACCAAGTTAAAAATAATGTAGAGGGAAAACCTACAAGGGTATGAGGGGAACTTAAGCACTGAGATAACTTTCTTGTACACTGGACAAATTGAACGAGGAACCAAGAAAGTGAGAAGGCATACATGCCTAATGACTTTCCACTATTAGTGAGAATGCCTTGATGTCAATGATGACCCTTGACTAAGTCTGTTATTCCTCATCAAATCTCAATTAGTGAGATTGGTTGATCGGACATTTTTCTCAGAAGCAACACCTTTAACCCTAACAGAACTCAACCCATCGAACTCCAACAGCAGATTGTGTTGGAATCTGTAAGGATGGGTACAGTACCTATAAACTGACAGTCTTTTACATTGGGTATAGGCACACCTCCAGAATCAAAGTCAGAAATGTGTGTGTGCAGTTTCCCGTATGGTGTTGGAATTTGCCAGGACGGGTATGGTTCCTAGTAAATCATGCTAGGGAGTATTAATGTTTATCCCTAGCTGAAACTTTAAAATGTCATTTGAAATGGCTTTAAAGGGAATATACATCATTTGCTTTTGCTGTAATTTTCAGAAATGGATGGAATTGGGGGGTTGGAAATATATAGCAAATATAGTTACACTGACTTTTTTGAGGTTTTGGGTTCGAAAATGCTATAAAAACCAAGAAAAACAATCATTTTCCTGTAGTCTGGTTCCGTGACTCCATATAAGAAGAAACAGAGCAGTTTACATACATTGGGGAATTGTAAGGTCAGGGAACCAGTCTAGCTGGCTCGTACCCGTACCCGTTCATAGGTTTGTAATCGATTGCAAACAAGTGCAATGGTCAATTGGGGCCAGTATTTGAAAAAAAGCCAGTTTTTTCCAATGTTGATCGGCCGATCAGCGTTGGAAATTGATACAAAAATACCACTTTTCTTGAAAATGACAGTATACCAGGTGCCATGATTTTACAGGATGCTTTACTCTGTCATTCACTAACAGTCCAGCAAGGTATTTCAAAATGAATTGGTAGTTTTATTTTTTGATGTTTGCAAATGTAGCTACAGTGTACATATATTGTACCAACCTCTCTCCTCACATCCGGTAACATCAGCCACATTGGAAAGATCAGCGGAGCCAACAAGATGTAAGTGATTCGCTTCCGTAGCGTAGGGGGCCAGCTCATGTCCAACGGTTCCTCCACCTCCTCCTCAGGCATTTCCTAAATGAAACACATGGGTACCAATGAAAATTAGCATGCTCAGTCAATTTTCCCTTTTTTCCCCAGCTACTTACACGTATGTACATTGTACGTGTACAAGCAAAGTGCAGTGAAATTGCTGTTGTGCAGCCTAACAAAAAAGTATGATGGAGATTTTATATGTGGATATCAAGGTCTTGATTTATATCACCCCGACGCAAAATTCCATCTTATAATAGTTTATGCGGTACCCGCTGCTATGTACATCAGATTCAAACCGGCCACCCGATCCCGTTAGCTCGGTGGTCGAGTGGTAAGACATCTGCACTAGAAAGCAGGAGGTCGTGGGTTCGAGTCCCACCCGAGTGATTTTTTCCAACTTTCACTCGGGAGGTAACACACTGAGTATACAGTGTTTAAAAAAACGTCGGTGAAGGGCAAAACCTAATTTGATTTATATCACCCCGACGCAAAATTCCATCTTATGATATAAAGGTCATAATCAACAAATTACAGCTACAAACTCTAATTGAACATCATGAACACAATTCTTCAATTACATGTACCGGTAGCTTTAATATGACAACATGACGATCTCTAATTCATGTGCATGTACCGGTACATGTACCCTACGTGTACGAACGCAATATGTAAAACTGAAAAAAGATGATCACCAAATAAACCTCAAAGGAATGCTTACTACTTGCACATTTCAGTACCGTAGGTTCACTTAAATTTCAATTGATAAATGAACAACATTGACAAAAGAATGTGACTAGGGTGGATTTGAAATTGCAACTCCCAAGAGCACCACACTACCGTAGGCAACTTTTTTGGGTCAACATTAAATTGAACAGCCAATGAAAAAGAAATTAAATGATGGTATAATATTACATACATTCCACACAAACACACAAAAAACATACAAATAAACCCATCCCAGAAAAAAAAAACATCGCTTTGAGATTTACATGTACGGTAGTATCGTGTTTGCAGGAATGTTAATGCAGACACTTCACAATGACAATAACAACAGTGATACGATTCCTCTGTCTCATCTTGTCATAGCTAATAACGAAAAACCAATTCCGCTGAAGCCACTTCAACTGAACGGAAATACGTAAAAGTCCTTCACAAGCCTATAATGGCCGGGCCGCCAGATGATCAAGTTTTCCCTCATTGGGTACATGTACATGCTACACCTGAGTTGTAGTAATTTATTCTCCATGGGCATTGCTATGTACATGTTTCGGGGCAGATGACGCAGTACACCATTGTACACATAGTGACTGTATCCCAAGTAAAAAGATTGCTCGGAAATGTCGTGTTGTTTTTAATTAGGGATGGGAATAGAAATGTTTTACAAATGCCAAAAAACATGTACACCCGTACAATGGGACATTTTTACTACCTGTACATGTACCGGATAATTAACGGTACCGGTACATGTAAGATATATCCTCTGATGACAGGTTTAGAAAGGGATGTGCATGTATATGTACCTGCATGCTTACGCATACTGCAATTGTACAGGGTGAGTCAAATAATAATGACTGGAAAGCCAATTCCATAAGCTACTTTTAGATGGAAAAATTACTGAAATTGGTCAATCCGTTCAAAGAATATGATCACCATTTAAACACAATGACCCTAAAACCTGTCTCGTCCAAAAAAAATGTGATTTCAAGAATCGTCGTCACAATTCAATTCTTCAAACATCACCAGCGATAAACTCTCAGTTTAAACGTTCACAATATTCAACAAAGTCCTTCTGACATGTCTGAAGGCCAGTCTTTAAAAAAAAAAGCAGATTTTATAAATCATATTGTTTGCCTAACCAGGGTTGTTAATAAAGATAGTATGTACTTTAGTTGGTGACAGTTAATGAAACAAGTACTCTGTGTCATTTTCTTTGTTGTTCCAAACAGTCAAAACACACGATAAATTGCTTCTTTTCTTTTTTGGACGAGACAGGTTTTCGGGTCATTGCGTTTAAATGGTGATATTCTTTGAAAGGATTGACCAATTTCAGTATTTTTTTTCATCTAAAAGTAACTTATGAAATTGGCTTTCCAGTCATTATTATGTTTGGTGCTACATATTTTTTTAAATATGAAATATATTTTTGGGGGTTTGGGTAATTCCGCTTTTTTTTTACTCACCCTGTACATGTAGCTTGTACGTTGTATACATGCATTCCCAACTTGTCAGGAAAAAAAACAGGACATATTACCACTTAATGGTGTACGTAGCTTTTTGCCGGATCGCATGTTAATGTTGTTCAGTTTTTTTTCCTTTGTTACTTTATCAGTATTTATGGTTAGACCCCCCCCCCCCCCCCCCCCAAAAAGTCTCCGGTTTCTGGTATGCGCGCGCGTCACCGTAGCCATCAAAATGAAAATTTTTTTTTTCAATGAAAGATGATGTCTCAAAACCGCCAAACTCACTGGTTTGACTGGAATCCTGCTGCTGCGCAATTTTAACGTGTTTTTAGATGGGGTTATGATCGAGAATAAGCTTTATGTGGCCTCTCTGGACTCCCATATATTTGCACTAAGTCTAGTCGGGCACCATTTGCAGTCATCAGCCGACATTTTGAGGCAAAAAAATCAGGTAAAAAAAAAAAAACCGCGTCGCCGCACCACTTTTTGGGCAAGCTCCATACCAGAAACCGGAGACTTATTTTTTTGGCCTTATTTCTTGCAGTTAACAATGCATGAACTTGGAACTTTCTACAAACATCAACCCTAATCCCATGTTTGCTTTATGTCAGTAACAATAACTAAAATGTCAAAGAGGCCAACATTTTGTCTGAATGATCCTGACCATGTTGGGGGGGGGGGGGGGGGGGAGAGAACACTCTAAAAGCACTCAGGATTTATCATTACAGGTAGATGTCTAGGTCTGATGTCCATCATTAATTACATTCATCAGTACATGTGCTTTCTCTTAGCTTTTTCCAAATGTCACGCACTTCTCTCGGGCAATATAATCAGAAGTAAGCATCAATAATCAGTGTTATCACCATGACATATGTATTGACCAGGGAAAACCTTTCAACATGTTTCAAGAACGGTTCCCTTTTTGTCCCATATACGTAACACCAGGTTTTCTTTAACTACACAATTAATGTAAACTTCTTGCGGGCATTCTCGTTGCAGATGCCTAACAACAAACACTGAAATCCATGAATATCTTAGAGGGCTCAAAACTTTCGTACATGCACATACATGTATGGGATATATGTAAGCGTGCACGAATTCTTGGACTTGCCGTAGAGTATTTTTAGGTCGGTCGTGTGTATATATTTCAAACCATTGCATGTATAACAAGTGGGTTGCATCTTGGGTGGCCCTGACATTGACATGTATAACAATGCAGACCTGACATTTGTGATGTGACTAGACAAGCTCAGCTGGTCCATAATCAACCCCCTTCGTAAGTGTGACATCATCTCAACTTAACCATGCACAGGCCTACTGCACACGGTGTAGCATTGCACTAATGGAACCAACCGGAAGTTAACGCAACTTAAGTGTTTATTGCCAATGGGTGCTTGTCATCAGTGGTGCGTGCGCGCGTGTATGACAAAGTCACCTACGAACCGGATAGGGTCTAAGAGGTTTATGTAGTCATCAGCGACAAACTTTTGGGCAAAGGTGAGACTTACATGTTAACAACTCTACATAATTCCAAAGTCAAATTCCAACTCTACATGTAATTCCAAAGTCAAATTCCAACTCTACATGTAATTCCAAAGTGATAGTCTGTAACCCTTGGTTCAGACAGGCGTGCTAGAGTCGCATGTTGTACAGGCACGGTGCAGTCTTGAAATACAAATTGTTCGTACGTGGCGTGACATGCAAGAGATTATGCGAGCGCACATGGCGTACGTAGCTGTCTTCTTCGATACGCGCGTACTGCGCGCAGTACGCTCTCAATCAGTGTCGATGCGTCGATTACGTATTCTACATGGCCAGGCGTTTGCGTAGTGAAGGAACGCGCACGCAGCCCATGCATCGATGCTGCACAATGCCGGCTTGTTGCTAAAATCCCGTGTTTGTTGGTTTGTACACAATACTCCAATGTATTAAGTTCTCCCTGTCTGAAACCAAAATTTTAATAAGGTCGACCTGGAGTCGCTCCTAATCTATTTGGTTCGGCGCGACTCTGGAACGCCCGTCTGAACCAGGGTGAGACCACCAAGATACATGTGAGAGGACTGTGAGCTGGCCCCCTTGGACTAGCAAAAATAAGTTCAAAAATGAGTACTGCAGTTGCTTCCACATCTTCATAATGTGACGCTTGTGTAAACTGAGGAAGACTCTTTTTTCCCCCCTTTTTACAATCACCACTTGTACACGTACGTACTGTATCACACTCAATCCACCGACATTATAAACACAAGATTTGCAATATTTGAATGCGTTCATATCAGGCATACCGGTACCTTTATATATACATTTTGTACATGTACAGCCCAGCCGAAATATCACACATGGGGAAGTAAGTTTGGTATAAGCTCTACTGCAAAGTTGGATTTTGAAGGTTTAAGAATGCTTCTGAGCAAAACCCTGGAAGCATTTAATCTTTAGAAAAAGTCCGCCTCCATGTCCAGGTACCAGTAAATTCCCAAATAATACTATGGCTATATATATATGTGCACGCACAGACTTTATTCCGGAGTAATATTAGTCTGGGGTCTCTCTCTCACTCTCGCTATGAATTTATGAGATTGCCCCGATCAAATTCATCTATCTTAATTACTTGATGCCGAGAGGAAGTCTGGCAATATCCACGCTGGATTTCTAGCCGGAATGCGAAGCCACATTTCAGATCCTGTCCTACTTGATGATGATGATGATGATGAAGATGGGGCCCGGTAGGTAGACGACTCAGGTATATCGGCTTTCAAATGATGATATACTATAAAGAGGACAGTTTCTGCTTCAAGGAAGAGCAAGATGTCACTCATCCGAAGTGCACATGCCCTCATTTTAAATTGGATGGCTGGCTCTACTCCTGTATGTCCTGTATCATATTGCATGTAATCGGACAACGCTACCGCAATGTTGCACTTGTATGTAGACATAGTACAAACAAGTAGTATTATATGTATCGGTAGGATAGTAAAACACGTTTTGGGAATTTGAAAAATAAACAGTGCCGCACTGAAAAACAAAATGTGCATAGCCATGTACATGTCAAAACTATTAATGCACAACATGCACGTAAGTGCTATAAAATTTGGCAATTTGGCGTAAATGCTGGCATTAGTACACAATAAGGGCACGTACATGTATTGGTGAGTATGGCAGTTTAATTAATCCCGGCTACAGTTGGTCTGGTGTAAATGTACTGGTACAAATAGTAGGGTCTGCACCATGAACATGCATGTAAATGCCCTGTAACTTTAAAAATCTGAAAGTGAAGTAAATTTTACGACATCAGGAACTGAAGTTTCATCATTGTTCATCGTTCATTATACAATTTGTAACCGACAGATCCAATTGTCATTTGATTGGTGGAACTCACATCACGTGACATTCGTTATTGCTCCCATTCACACCAGTGCTCAAAAAGTCCCATTCGCCCATGAGGAATGGGAAATACTATTTAACAGTTAGGATCATTCTTGTTCCATCATGTCCATGATGCGGTATTTGTGTGCAAATATGCATGCTGGTGTGCGCGTTCAGCGTTGCGCGTAGCGGGTATTGTTCCAAAGAGCCAACGCTACAGCGTTGGGTTCAAACATTTTCGTGAAGGGTTGGTTTGGAAGAAAGAAATACATTCTCCACCAATTTTGTATTGAAATAAAAGTTCAAATATCAAATGACAAGGATCTACCGGTATATGTCAGTTATATAAAACAAATATTGAGTAGCTTTAAATTGTGAAACGGGAGGAATATTCTCTAGGTAAAATCTGGACTTTTTCAGTTCACTCGGCTTCTGCGATAATTTTCCATTCCACGCTGAGCCACTTGATATTTGTATACCATTACCACTAAGTTGCTTCGCTCATAATATTCCATGAAATACCTGTATGAACCCGGCCTCTATTTTAGCCTTCCCTTATTTGCCCAAGTTGCAAAGACTTAAAGCATCCCACCGTGTTACAATTTCCTTTCATATACTGTCTCCCTCATTTTATCAGTATGCCCTTTCACTGCAAACGAGGCGAACACAGACCCACGCACTGCAGACAGAAGCCGCAAGCCCGCATCACGGGACCTTCAAATTTGATCGGATATACCGTGTCTAGCCTTCTACAAAAGCCCTTCCGGCCAGATTCTCCCGTTAAGGCAGATCTATACAAAAGCGATCAGATATTGCTGTTTCTCGAATGGCATGTTCGCCTACGTTTGCAGTGCATGCATACATGTACGTATGTCGTTCAAGGTTTTCTCTTTGGGTTTCCAAATCGTCACGCAATGATTCTGAGAAGATGAGGTTGTCAGCGACAGAAATTGTGAAATCTCAACAAACGGTCATCTACATCTAGATTGCATTGGATGGTTCTGCTGACCATCATTCATTTAAACCTCATTTCTCAGAACCGACAACACTGAAAGATTGGTATTGCAAATTAAAATGTTGGCCAAAGACTGGGTCTTTGATGATACATAGGCCTATGAATACAAGACAAACACAATCAATCTCAAAACACATGGCAGTCCTAATTAATTGCCTTTATGACTTAGATGACCCGCCATTAAAACTCCCTGCTGTACAGGGAGTCTTAATGGCTTTTCTCAGAATTTCAACGTACTCTAAAAAGATCCTAATTGCAAATTGAGATGTGGGGCAATTAACTGTTGGCTCGCAATAATTAGTGGCAGATACCGGTACATGTACATGTACATGTATTAAATCTGCATGTGTAAATGTAAAATGTACAGTACCGTAGGTTGAGTGCTGATGTATTGTACCGTAATTTGTATAAATTTATGTACACGTATGGTACGTGATCAAGTCAATACTACACTTGCGATGGGTTTAACGTAAAATTAAACACCATTTTTCTAGTACATTCACAAAGCATTTAAATGAAGCCAGTTAATGATAATTTTAAGATCCGAGGAGCTGTTGTAAACTGGGCATATTTACCACCTTTGATGAGAGCCCCATGGACGGGACGTACTGCTTGTGCGCACTGGTTTGCGCGCATACAGGGTGAGTAAAAAAAGCAAACCCAAGTGACAGGACCAATTTTTGAATGAAATTTTGCCTGTAGCATTTCCAAAATCTAGGAAATAAAAAAATCTAGGATTTAAAAGCCCAGTCAATGAGCTCTCTTTTAGTACAAGAATCATTCAAATTACTCATGTACTTTTTGAGTCACAGAGTTTTGAACACAATTCCCATCGTATTAAATTTCTGTCCACGGATCACAAAAATTTCTCATATACGAATGCATGTGAATCATCATTCCGTAACTTGAACAGTTCAACAGGGATTTGAATGATACTTGTACTAAAAGAAAGTTTAATGACTGGGCTTTCATTCATCCTGGATTTTGAAAGTGCTTCAGGCAACGCTTCATTCAAAAAATGGTCCTGCCATTTGGGTTTCGTTTTTTTTACTCACCCTGTATAGTGCAAAGTACGCAAGACTTATGTTATTCTGAATGTGCACAAAGCCATAGCATATTCACATGAGCATCAGCCGTCGTTTCGAATGTCACTCCAAGTAGTCAGAGTCTTGCAATGCGTCATCAATTTGGGGGAAGACAAAAAATGAGCTTTTTAATGGTATTTCCTGTGCTCTGCACAAGTTTTATCTACCGGTAAATGCCCACCTGTTTCAAGAAACTGGCTGTATTGTTTGCTCATCAAGCTGCACACTTTGCTTTTTGATTCTATAAAGTCAAGAGAAAACCCTGTTTGGGCATTAAAGCTCCACATGAAAATGACTTTGATCAGTTGCTGAAAAAAAAACCTTCTGCCTGCTTTCACCTGTGACGGAGACTGGCTGGCATCATCCACCAGCGTGGACTGCGTCTGCATGTCAAGAGAGACGGTCCTCTGGTCGCTGTGGGCTCCAGGGGAGGAATCTGTCACAGCCTCCTCAGGGATGTTGGGATGGGAGATGGTGCGGATGTGGCCCCGGTTGCTCTCCACGTCATCAGAGAGATGCTCGGCGCTGATGATGCATTCCCTGGAGGAGGAGGTGTGGTCCCCGTCTCCTTGCTGCTGGTGGTGGGCCAGATCAGGTTGGGTGAAGGAGACATGGGTTGGGGCCTCGGGGGAGCCCTGGCCTGTTTGGGGCCGGTGACCATTGGCCGTTCCATTGGCATTGGCGGTTGCGTTGGCCTCCCTGCTCGGGCTCTGGATGCCGTTTTCCGGTTTGGCCATGGCTCGCATCTGTACTGCTTTTTCATGTACGACAGCTGTGAAAAACAAATAATCAAAGATTTACAATGTCAAGGCTAATCACCAATGTGTAAAATGTACACTCAAACCTATATGCTTAGATAACAGCAGAAAGATGCATAAAAAATGTTCATAAATATCATGATTATACTTATTGAAATGTGCATGCATTCAGGATACAAATACCGGTACTTAAAAAAAAAAATAAAAAAAAAAAAATAGAGAGTGCATTCACTACACACGGATGTGCCAACAAGGATGTTCGGCAGCCATTTTTTAAGTGGGCAAAAATAGCAGAGTCATAATTAGAACATATTAGCGTGACTAGTGGTACGACAAATATGAAATACTTGGACGTGCCTACTTTCAGTGCATTTTATTGTGCTCCCTTAGAAAATGGAAGCTGTGCATCCTTGTTGACATGGTTGCATATAGTGCACAGAGCATACCAGTAGCATAGCGCTCTCTAGTTTTTATAAAGATACATACATATTTAAACTCTATGATGATAAGCTCTTCAGCCAAATTTTTAGAAGTTATTTTCAGTACCTGTCAATTTACTTTACATTTATATACGCTTTTTTTTATGAGAGGTTTTGCTTATGAGCAACAGAGAAAGACTGCAGCGCAGTGGCAAAACTGGGCATGCTGGGGTTCAATTTGCAAGGGGTCACTTTCATGTACAGTATGTACATGTACCGTACATGTAGATGCGCCTAATTCATTTTTGAAATTTTCTGCAGGCAGCATTCAATGTTTTTTTCAGATAATAAAAAAAAACATTTTTGCCTTTCCCCAAATTCATGGGGGGGGGGGGAGGGAGGTGCCTGGATATGCTCAAAGGGCGAGGGCATTCCTCTTCCTTACCAGTACCCTGTATATGTCCTCCTTAGGTGCCCAACTCCAGCAGCAGGCAGACACAGCTTAATTGTTAAACTTTTAATATCTGACCCCTTGGAATGAACTTATCAAGTCGGTTCAATCAATTCCGTTCAATGAACCGCGAACTACGGGCAGCCCGACACCTTAACATCATTGGCAATCAATATTCACTGATATTCAAGACAGCAATGAGATAGCCCACTTCCCCTAGGTGTATAACATGCCCTCAACAATCAGATGGGATATGGAGAAATCCATACAGCTCCCCAACTGACATTTAAGCTGGAAAAGCAGTCCATGCCATGTCTGCTAGGAATAAATCTGTCTTGACATGTTCGTGACATATCTGTGACATATCTGTGATCAAGACCCACCCATGTATGATCAAATGAAACATTAATCACGTATGACAATGGGACTAATTTTTCTTGCAAGATCAAGTTTGATATTGATTTCCAACCTGATACAAATTGTAGCAGCTAGGTACCGGTAATATGGCAAAAAGTAACCTACATGTACATGTACATGTACCTTTGTGAGACAATTTGATATTATGTCAACCACTTTATTGAATACACTTTTATCACATTTGTTCCCTTTATATTCTATGAGTGACATTTTCTGTAAAAAAAAAAAAACATTTTATTCTGGGCAGTTGGTTGAAAAACAGCAAGCAGGAACTTGGAAGTAACAAACAGAGGACATTCCCAGCTCTTCAACAAGAAAAAAACCAGGGAGAAAAATCAGGCAATTTCTCACCCCAACACGTACAATCATAAACCTGTGGACTGTACGGATGTACATGTACATTGTACAATTCCAGTTTATGGAATAAAGGTAATATCTGTGATGGAGTCAATTAATTAATTATTTTAATGATTAACTGATCTAAACCCCCCATGATAATCTCCTTGACCATTACTAGATGATGGATTTTATGTACCGGTACTACATGTAGATTCCAAAAAAAGTTCTAGTTTATGAGCTCAAAACAATGACTGATTTGGAATTGCCTGTACATGTACATGTACCGTATATATGTAACACATGTACCGGTACTTTTTTTGTAAAAACTCCATGCACAAACTTGTGTACATGTACATTGTACATGTACAGAGTAATGGTACTTGAAGTACAAGCATGACCAGTAGTGGATCATACGGTACCGGTACATGTTTAATTCTTGTTTGACACACTTTAAACCTAGACACGCCCTAATCTAATTCAAATGATCCATTTGTGCTGATGCGCTCCCCTGTATACCTACACTAAGTGTATACCAGTGCAGAAGAAAATACATGTAATGCACAATACATTTTTGTGAATGTGATACGCTTGCACGCATTACAGAAATTGACACAAGGCCAGAAATTCCAATTACACTTAAGAGCTTTGCTACATGTGTATTAATGCACACATGCAGCTGGTCTGACATTGACTCCCTTCTTGAATGCCAGCAGAGATCACCCTTCAACATTCAGGAGATTCCTGGTATCATACACATGGTCAAGTTTGACGTCATCCTGTATTCATAAATACACGTATTAGGCCAAGAAATATGTTCCAAAACGCCTCTTTAATCTTGACAGAGGCACAAAGTGAAGAAAAAAACTTCGATTTCATTTGTTCAAACATACATACCGGTATGTGTAAACAGGCAAGTACTGTACGGTATGCCCAAACTCACATATTTGCAGTCAATTTTAGATTCACTGTCAATGTACATGTATGTACCGGTTCATACCGGTTCATACCGGTACATACCGGTACAAGTACATACAACTCAATAATTGACTGTCTTGTTCTTTTGACTGGTACACAAATCATGAAAGTGGCAGACTGAATTTGTACAATGCGTACGTGTGCGAGCTGAATAGATACGCAAGGATACTGCATAGTATGTTTGATGTTATGTTTCCTTAGCAACACAAACAGGACAAATCAAGTGCATGCAGTCCTTCTGATTTGAGGCGTGCGATCACACCCCTACGCCATCACACGCCTAAAAGCTTCCTGAGAAGTGAAATAATTGCACGCCTGAATCCCTCTGTACCGCACACCTCGGCATAAATTTACGGCATAAATACTTCATAATTTATGAAAAAAAGTATGCCGGTGAAGAGAAAATGGCTTTAATTTGTAAACCAAGATGAGTAGCATAAAAAAAAAATACCAGATTGTTCAGTCCCAGCTTGGACCACAGAATCACTCGCCAAGAAAAATCATACGCCTAGAAAAATCATACGTCTAGAAAAATCCAGGTGTGCCTTTTTCCACACGCCTGTGATTTTCAAATCAGAAGAACTGAAGTTAATGTCTTCAGAGAAAATTGACCATTGTTATAGCGATCAAGATCATAGCTGCAAAATCAAAAGCATGAAACTAATTTTGTGATGTTGTCAAGTGCACCTATACTGTACAGCAAAAACAGCCTGATAGAGTGTGATGCTGATTGCTGGTAGATAAGAAAGAGACGTGAACAGGAATTTATTGCAGTTTTGTTGTTGAAAACCTTTTGCTGCTGAGCCAAAAAGCAATGTGCAAAAATAATTTTTGACACGAGTATTCAGACAAACATACATGTATTTCGACTCGCTGGCAAATTTCATTCCAACCGTTTCTTCACATCAGTTTTGATATTTCCGTTTGTGAGGGGTAAGATCATGAACTGGGAAAACTTACTGATTTCCATTCAAGCCAATCGCCTATAAAGAATGGGGGAAAAAAAGAATTAATTAAAATTTCTTCCCCATTTCTTTCCAAAGAAAAATATGAGAGTTAACACCTACTTTCACTTAGTGGGTCAATGGTGTGCAGCATTAGTTGCAATGCACCGTGCCGAAACATGTTGGTGTTGCGAAAGTGCGGCACACTGTGACGTCGATTCCGCCCAACTGGTAAACCCTTGGCCTGCAGAGGGAAGAGGATGGAAGAAATCAGGGACAAATCAATTAATATTCAAGAAAGTAGTTTGTTTTCAAATGCCAAATACAATGTCAGTAGTAACTCATAACTTTCTGAATCCTCCATCGTCGTGTGAGTAAAACAATGGCACATTCTGTCAGTGTCTGTCACACAATTTTGTTACATTTTTGACTGATTTCATTTTTATTCGACTCTCATAATTGCCACACGATTGCTGCATCTGGAATGTGTAGTACATTTGCTAAAAGTTCATGTACATGTTAATTTTGTAGGTTTCACAGGAAACAGGAAGAAAATCAAACATGTAATTCAATTTTTAAAAAAAGTTCTTAAAAAGTTTTTATTAATGCACTTGGACAATAAAATTGTTGTAAGGCGAAATAAAAAAAACAAAAAAAATGTGTAGCGTCCCCGCCCGCTTCCTTTATGGAGGCCGCCTCCTTTTTTCATCTTTTAAATTTTTTTTTTTTTTAAACTCGACAAAATGATTACTTTTCAACAGTGGCATCATTTTGGCCTCTTTATCTGATGCCTCTACCCCATATAAAGCTATGAGTATGAATGTCAGTTCCTGAGTCCAATGGCGGCCATTTAAAAAAAAAATGGCGGCCGCCTTTAAAATTAACCTGGTTGGGCGGCCATTTTGGAGGGAAAAAGGCAGGACGCTAAACATGTTTTTTTTTTTTAATTCGTCTAATACGTAAATTTATGATAGAAGCCCTGAACATAATACATGTACGACTATCATGCACATGACGCATGCTGTATTACTTAGTACATGTATTAATTAAAAAGGGCAAAAATCTTTTCAGTTTCTCCCCCCCCCCCACCCCCCGAGTTCAGGTAAAAGTGACTCTCCCCTGGCTAACCTTTTCCTTTTTTTGTTCCTAGACTATCAGGAGCCATTTATTCCAATTAACCTTTCCCTATCATCTAAACGCAAGCTTCATACTAGGGCGTGCAAGCCTGCCCCAGCATAAAAAGCTGGAATTAAACAGTCAGCCAGGAAACGACTTTAGCAGTGCTACACTAGGATTTTTTTTTTATCATTATTAAAAAAAAAAGGAAGATAGATGAGTGTGCGGGCTGATTTAATCACTGCAGCTGTGGGGCAAGAACACACAGCGCAGGAAACACTTGAGGTTCCCGGGTTGTCCACCAACCGCGGGCCGGGGAGGGGAAGAAAAAAAAAGCGGCACAAGGGAGAGATCAGCCGTCATTATTTGGCAAACATAGCACAATTGATTGGTTTACATAGAGCGGGGATGGCGGGGAACAGCCCCGACTGCCGTGCGTGAAATTGGCGTACAGCTGCGAAGTAAAAGACGTAAGGAGGTGGAATTTGCAGATGAGAGAAATAGAAGGGGTTACTATAAATGGGCGGAAATTGTGTCGGGGGGGGGGGGGGAGGGGGGAGATGGGGAGAGGGGTTAAAAACCTTTTAAAACCATGCAATATGAAGCTACATATGTATGTATTGAAATTTTATTTTTGGGGGGGGTGGGGGAGGTGTAGATATGGTCGTGATAACAACAGGCAATTAATGAAAAATGTTGGAGGGCCGGATTGGAATGAATGCTTTGCAATTGGATGTTATGCATCTAATTTGTTCCTCAACATCAAAGGTCAGCCACACTGAAGGTACCAGTACATGTGTACTTACATACATATAATGTACATACATGTACATGTACCGGGTACGCATGTAGTACAAGGGAAAATTGGTTCAGAACTTCAGAGAAAGGAGTGTCCGACTTCTCAAAATATTTCTGAATTTCAAACAGAAGCAATTTACTGTTTCTTGTAGAATTTCTTTGAGACGAAACCCAAACCTTTGAAGGCTCAATAAAAAACTTACTTAAAATGCTTAAAACATACCAGTAGTACAGCCAATGATTGTAATTTGGGTGCATATACCGGTGTGTACTAGTACAAACACTCATTTCCTACATGAATGACAGGCAAACATGAACACCTGAAATAAATATCATCCTCAAAGCCAAGGAAACCTTTACTGAAAAGCCAAAAAAAGGGGGGAAAAAGCAAAAAACAAAAAACAAACGAAGACTTCTCTGATTGTTATGAAATTGAAAACTATGTCATCAGTAATGTGAAGTCCTGCCCTACATTGCAAATGGGACGGTGGAGAGGGCTACAAAACGTCAAGCTCGTTAATCAAATTATTTGTTATTAATCTCAATACATCCATCGTCCATGCACCCAGTACCGTGCATGTATCAGCAGTAACCTATATTTTTTCAAGGAGTACAACATGCATTCAGCCCTTCGTAACCTACATTTCTGGAGTAATTTTCTCTCAGCAGTTACCGCACTGGCCTGAAATGAACGTAATGTATGTAAATCATTACTTGATTCCTGGTAAAGTAAGTCGTTACAGCTTTTTGGCCAAAACATGACGGAAAAAAGTCAGCAGAAATTTCTCATTTGTCAAACAAGGAAAAAAGGAGGACCTATTTTGAGAAAAGCTCTCGTGATCTCATTACCAAAATGGCTGTAGGCAAAAGAAATTGGAAAAAAGGGGGGAAAAAATGGACAAATGAATAAATTGTTGCACTGGACACTGAAAACATCAACGAAGAAAGTGTCACAATTTTTTATCTCCGATTTCTAGCTTTCTGGCCCATTAGCCACACTACCTTGAGGCATTTTAAACACCGAACACGGGACGGTTCCGTGAATATCTCTCGCAGACCGCAGGCAAAACATTTTCCAGCTCGGTTGTGTACCCGTAGCATACATGCGATCGATTGAGATTGATAAGTCACTGAGCAGTTACGGGTTTAAATAGCATTTTTGGCAACACAGGTAATTCATCGCAAGACGCTGTCACACTGACTTAATTGTACCAGGAATTCAATTCAAACAATACCATTATAGATGTTTGTGCTATTGGAGTTTTACCCTGAAAAAAAAATAGTCTTCTCAAATTGATATTTTTCTTGCAATACAAAAGTTATTCACTGTTTTTCTTGAAATACAAAAGTGACTCACTTTTGAATGAAGCATTGAAAGAAGAAAGAAAAAAATTTCCCACATTTAGTTATTGAATAAAGTTCAAAATATTTGCAGTTTGATTCAATTGGGTTTTTTTGTTTTGTTTTTTGTTTGTTTAATATTTACATGTATAAGTTGCAAAAAAAAATCTGAAGACAAAAAATAACTTTTATTGAATAAGTTGAATAGAACCGCCGGATGCGTTATAACTTTAATGTTTACCGCCAGTTACCGGTACAGATTACCGGTACACATACTTTTACTTACTTTAATTTATACTGTAACCATGGTAACCCAACATAACAGACAATCCTTTCTGAAATGTGAAAATCTTACTGGACAAAAGTGAAAAACAAAAATTATGTTATTGTGTTTGCCTTAAAATTTATTCGTGAGCCTCCTCGGACATGTACCGGCGGTATGTACACAGGTAATGACCAGCAGTCACACTGTAAAAAGCCTACTGCGTATATGTAGTGTCAGAATACTGTCAGTATATAAATGTACCTGTGTAAAAGTCATAAAATTCTAATTCCAGAGAGTACCGGTATCTATATTATAGCCGTCTGACGTACAATTCTTTTGACTGGTTCTTGGAAAGGAAATATATAAATAAGATGTAGTCAAGGCCAAGTGCAATCCATGCATGAGTAAAATTACTCCAAAGGTAATTTTTGCTAGAGCTAATTCCTGAATTCCACCATACACTGTATAATCCTCGCCGGCAGGAAACGTACATGTAGTAACATATTATTTGGACTTGAACTCTCAAGGCGCATCAAGCCTGTGATGTACATGTACGTGTTGTAATATAGTGGCTGCAGGGCTGGTGGTTGCGCAAGATAATTTGGGAGGTTTAGGGTTGAAACTTCCTAGCATAAGTATGTAAACTCAATGTAGGCCTACATTATGTACACATTAATTGATAAAAGTTTACACACTTTTTCCCATATGATGACCCAAAAAAGGAAGAGTCAGGAAAAACCTGAACAGATTTAATTTTCCTTTTTTTCTTTTTTAGAGGGGGGTATATGAAAAAAAAAAAAGAGTCGATATACGGTATCAGGAAAAAGCTGAACAGATTTATTTTTTCCTTTTTTTTTTCTTTTTTTTTAGAGGGGGGTATATGGAGACGGGGCAAAAACCAATTCCACCAAAATTGAGACTCACACTCACAGATTTGTTTAGATCTGCAAAAATATGAAAACTTCTTGTTTTTCCACTACATATATATAGTCCCAACTCATACATGTACATATGCATACATACTGACACTTACCGGAATGTACATGTACCGTACAGTACCCCAAAAAGTGCAGACATTTATATCAAAAACTTTTCTGGGGGGGGTTGCATTAAAAGTGCCAAATTGTAGGCCCTGCGTCCCTCCCCAACCACGACAGGAACGCAGTTCCACGATTCACTATGTGAATCAAGATTCCACTCCCTGCTGCACTTCAACTTAGGCCCAAAAATATAATAGTTCTGCTTCCGGTTTCCCTACCTACCCTAATTTTTTTTATGGGAAAATGAGGAAAAAAACACCAAAAACCTCAAAAAAACATCAATTTCTACCTTTTACCCTTGACTACACGCAGATGCCTCCATATGATCGTACACACAAAAAATTGGCAAAATAAAACAAATTCCCTACCTACCTACCCTATTTTTGAATGCCATGTAATCGGAAGCAGAACTATTTTTTTTTTTGGCCTTACCGGTACATGTATTTACAGTTCCAAAAAGTTGTGTACATTCCATACACAAGACAGCTACAAAAATTGCTTGGTGCTGGTCAGTTTCAACAGAGCGAACCCATCAGGAACAGGATTGCTTTCCTCGTTGCAAATTATCCGTGCAATATGATATGGACGCAATATCACACAATTCTGTTGGGACTATAGCCACAGAGAATATAACACATCTTTCGTGATCAATTTCCTAGGTAACATGTACACAGGACGATCACG